CGCCTCTATTGTTCCCGGACCAGGAGGCAGAAGTCAGAGTGCCTTCAGCCTCGAGGTTCATCAGACGCTGTCGGCTTACGTGGAAGAAGGCACGTCTTAATCTTCTGCGTTCCTCTCAGCAGTACCAACGACAAGCCAACAGAGGTCGCCGTCCCGGTCCTACCCTGTACCCCGGCCAGAGAGTATGGCTCTCAACTAAGAACCTACCGCTACGGGTGGAGTCTCGCAAGCTGTCCCAGAGGTTCATCGGTCCCTTTAAGATTGCCAGGAGAGTCAATCCCGTTACTTTTCGCCTGCACTTACCCAGATCCCTTAAGATCAATCCAACATTTCACATTTCTTTATTAAAACCTGTTGTTTTTTCTCCCCTTATTCCGGCAGGCAGACCTCCCCCTCCGCCCCGTGTCATCGGTGGCCAGTCGGCTTATACCGTCCACCGGATACTGGATTCCCGCCGGGTGCAGCGGTCCTGGCAGTATCTGGTGGACTGGGAAGGCTACGGTCCCGAGGAGCGCTCCTGGGTTCCTGCCAAGGACATACTGGACCCTGACCTCATTCGTCAGTTCAGGGCCCTCCACCCTGAGAAGGCTGGTAGGAACGTCAGGAGCCGTTCCTAGGAGGGGGATTCTGTCAGGTTTTGGCCATGACTGTTCGGGTTTTGGTCACTAGATGTCCCCATTGCACCTTTTTTGTACCTTTTGTTTTTTCTTGATCTAATTATTGTTTGCACCTGTAGGTCATTCCCTTGTTAGTATTTAAACCCTGTGTGTTCCTCAGTTCCTTGCTCAGTGTTTGTAAGTTAGCACCCAGCCCCAGCCCCAGCCCCAGCCCAAGCCTTGTGTTATATTGATATTTCTCTGGTGGGATTTTTCCAGAGGTTCTCTGGTTTAGTTATTGTGTTCTGTTTGAGTAGTCTTTTGAGGTTTGTTTTTCCCTGCTGTTTTTTACCACTTTGTGGAGTTTCTTTGTTTTTTGGAGGTTTTCCTCTTTGTGCCTCTTGGCTTTATTTTTGGACATTGTGGATTTAGTTTCTTTGCCTGAAGATTTTGTTCTTTATTAAACCACCATCTCTAGTACTGCTGTGTCTGCCTCATCTTCTGGGTTCTGACAATTATTAGTGACTGTTTCTCGCACCGGGTCGTGACATGTTTAACACTTTTTTGGTTACTACATGATTCCATTTGCGTTATCTCATAGTTTTGATGTCTTCACTATTATTCTACAATGTAGAAAATAGTAAAAATAAAGAAAAACCCTTGAATGAGCAGGTGTTCTAAGACTTTTGACCGGTAGTGTATATATACACCGGATATATTTACACAAGACATAGACCTACTAAGAATGATATATATGTACAGCAGTAGATATATTAGAGTGAGCTACGTCAAGAATCCAGTAGGCCCTATATTAATAAATATGTAGTGTGTATAAACAGTGTAACTAAAATGTACAGTAGTATAAATAATAGAATGAGCTATGTCGGGAATATAGTATTTAAATACACAATATAAAACCCCATGAACTGGATAGAATTGCAGGAATTCAGGTACCGGACCAGAGTCCGGAATATAGATATATATGTATGTGAATGGTGTGTATATACAATATGGACAGTAGTCTATGTGAATAGAAAAGGTGTGTACAGCAGTAGTTACATAGGATGAGCCATGAGTAAAATGCAGTATATACATATACAGTGGGTAGAACAGTATGGAAACATTTCCAAGTGACCAGTGTTCAATGAGTCTATCTACTGTAGTGCATTCGGAAAGTATTCAGACCCCTTGACTTTCTCCACATTTTGTTACGTTACAACCTTATTCTAAAATTGATTAAATGGTTTTCCCCCCTCATCAATCTATGCACAATACCCCATAATGAAAGTAAAAACAGTTTTTTAGAAATGTTTGCACATTTATAAACATTAAAAAAATTAAATATCACATTTACATAAGTATTCAGACACTTTACTCAGTACCTTGTTGAAGCACCTTTTGTAGCAATTACAGCCTTGAGTCTTCTTGGGTATGACGCTACAAGCTTGGCACACCTGTATTTGAGGAGTTTCTCCCATTCTTCTCTGCAGATCCTCTCAAGCTCTGTCAGGTTGGATGGGGGGCGTCACTGCACAGCTATTTTCAGGTCTCTCCAGAGATGTTCGATCAGGTTCAAGTCCGGGCTCTGGCTGGGCCACTCAAGGACATTCCAAGACTTGTCCCAAAGCCACTCCTGTGTTGTCTTGGCTGTGTACTTAGGGTCGTTGTCCTGTTGGAAGGTGAACCTTCGCACCAGTCTGAGGTCCTGAGCGCTCTGGAGCAGGTTTTCATCAAGGACCTCTCTGTACTTTGCTCTGTTCATCTTTCCCTCGATCCTGACTAGTCTCCCAGTCCCTGCTGCTGAGAAACATCCCCACCATGCTTCACCATAGGGATGGTGCTAGGTTTCCTCCAGACGTGACACTTGGAATTCAGGCCAAAGAGTTCAATCTTGGTTTCATCAGTCCAGAGAATCTTGTTTCTCATGGTCTGAGAGTCCTTTAGGTACCTTTTGGCAAACTCCAAGCAGGCTGTCATGTGCCTTTTACTGAGGAGTGGCTTCCATCTGGCCACTCTACCAGAAAGGCCTGATTGGTGGTGTGCTGCAGAGATGGTTGTCCTTCTGAAAGGTTCTCCCATCTCCACAGAGCAACTCTGGAGTGACCATCGGGTTCTTGGTCACCTCCCTGACCAAGGCCCTACTCCCCCGATTGCTCAGTTTGGACGGGCGGCCAGCTCTAGGAAGAGTCTTGGTGGTTCCAAACTTCTTCCATTTAAGAATGATGGAGGCCACTGTGTTCTTGGGGACCTTCAATGCTGCAGACATTTTTTGGTACCCTTCCCCAGATCTGTGCCGCGACACAATCCTGTCTCTGAGCTCTACGGACAATTCCTTCGACCTCATGGCTTGGATTTTGCTCTGACATGCGCTGTCAACTGTGGGGCCTTATATAGATAGGTGTGTACCTTTCTAAATCATGTCCAATCAATTGAATGTACCACAGGTGGACTCCAATCAAGTTGTAGAAACATCTCAAGGATGATCAATGGAAACAGGATGCACCTGAGCTCAATTTCGAGTCTCATAGCAAAGGGTCTGAATACTTATGTAAAGAAGGTATTTCTATTTTTTTTTTGTTATAAATTTGCAAAAAAATTCTAAAAACCTGGTTTCGCCTTTTCATTATGTGGTATTGTGTGTAGATTTTTTTTTTTTAATCCATTTTAGAATAAGAATGGAACATAACAAAATGTGGAAAAGGGAAGGTGTCTGAATACTTTCTGAATGCACTGTATATAGGGCAGCAGTCTCAAAGGTGCAGGGTAGAGTACCGGGTGGTAACCGGCTAGTGACAGTGTCTAAAGTTCAGGGCAGGGCAGGGCAAGGCCGGCTGGTGATGACAGTTTAACAGTCTGATGGCCTGGAGATAGAAGCTATTTATTAGTCTCTCGGTCCCAGCTTTGATGCACCTGTACCGTCTCCGCCTTCTGGATGTTAGCGGAGTGAATAGGCCGTGGCTCGGAAGGCTGAAGTCCTTAATCAACCAAGAGTTTTAGTGCAATTTCGATGCGTATTTGTTGCATGTTACATTCTATTCATAATCCCATATATTCTATTCTATTTTATAATTTTAGCCTATATTATAGGCCTATTAATATGTTGAAGCTGAGTAGAGACGTAAGAGACTAGGTCAGCAAGGCAGAATACAGTGGTTTGGTATATACAACTGGGCCAGTGAACCTACAGGCATGTGGTATCACTATTTTGTCCAATAAAAAGGCCAAATCTTTATTGTACCTATATGTACATTTGTTGTGCTAATGTACATGTACCTGTATATGTTCTTTATAGAACATAAATTGGTACTGTCTTCGAGCGAGTTAAAAGGGTAAAGTCACCAGTGTGGGCATTTATCCTAGTGTGCTCTTGGATCAAGGGCAAAAAGCCAAGTTTAGAAGCTGACCCATCACCCTCTCTCCAGTCTCCACTAGCCTACTCAGAAAGTCAACTCAACTCCAAGAGGAATAAAATATTTCACTCCAGGAGGAATAAAAACAAGCCAGTCTACAAGATTGCCCGTATTTATATAAATGAAATTCACTATTGATTTTGAAGTGATTTACAAATCTAGGCTACGCAATGAGATGTCTTTCATTTTTACTGAATTATTTACTAATTTGTTTATGTTTTTTGCTTTAATCAAGAATAACATAACAGTGCAGTTATTATACTTTGGTTAAGTGCCTTGATCAAGGGCACAACGCAGGGGATGCTACACCGATCGAAGACTAGCAGCCTTTCAATTCCACATGTATGCTTACTTTTTCATGTATAGGCTACATAGAGACGCCATCAATTATTGGTCATGGAAATGTTGTTAAAAGTCATGGAGAAGTCATGGAAAAGTCATGACTCCATCTGTCAAAATGTGTATGAACCCTTAACAGTGAATACTCCGAGCTTTATAGGATAATGTCATTTGTGAATTTCGGTGAACATATGCTAGTCTAATGGACCGACCTCTTTCATCCCTAATCAAGCACTGACATAAGCAAACCGTGAATGAAGAAATCGCTTATTGCAATTTCCTATAGCCTACCTTACTGAATATTACGCATGGGCTTTGGGCATATTGGATTTCATTCAATATGATAATTAGGCTATGACTGCATTGCTATTGATCTATAACACATACACTAGCCTACACCTATTATGATTAGCCTACATGTTCATACTGGAACGGTGTTATTATCATGAACCTGTTGCATTATATAGGCTTATATAGGCTTATATAATACATTTTGGTTCCCTCCCATTACCAATTAAAATTCGGGCGTAGAGACCCAGGAGCGTGCATTCCGTAGCTGTGAGGCGGCGGCGGTGTTCAGGCGGTGCCTGCCAGGGTCTGTGGCAGCAGTGAGCAGTGGAGAGAGCTCTGTCTGACAGCAGCACCCACTACAGAAATGGCGGAGGGGGAGTTGGACGTCGACTCGCTGATCGCCCGGCTATTAGAGGGTGAGTTAATCAAAGCCTTTATATTCTTTATTTCATATTTCAAATCAAGGCGCTGGCCATTGCATTGTGATCTAAAACACTGTCCTTGTAGTGGTTAGTTTACAACAGGAGGCCGTGGTTCGAGGGAAGGAGCGCCCAGAGTTTGAGTGTATAGGACTAGCCGTCAGTTATCACAAACACAGGCACACCTATGCGTTTAACATCCCCTCTTTCTGCCACTAATATTTGCACTCTGCTGGATGTTACAGTTGTAAATCAAAGGTTACGGTTGCCGATTAAATAATTTGAAAATAATTTCATTCTAAATAGTTACAATCTGACAAATGATGAATTTTGTTAAATGTTTACAAAGTTGCAAAACTAAAGTGTTTGTTTGGAATTATATACAGACTGTTACTGTCAGGCTGAATTAAAGGATATAGGCTATTTTAGGAAAACAAACGGAGTATTGGGTCAATAACCGCTCTACTCACCAGTGGTGGGAAAAGTACCCAAATGTCATACTTGAGTAAAAGTAAAGATACCTTAATAGAAAATGACTCAAGTAAAGGTGAAAGTCACCCAGTAAAATACTACTTGAGTAAAAGTCTAAAAGTATTTGGTTTTAAATATACTTAAGTATCAAAAGTAAATGTAATTGTTAAAATATACTTAAGTACCAAAAGTAAAAGTATAAATAATTTCAAATCATACAGTGAGGGAAAAAAGTATTTGATCCCCTGCTGATTTTGTATGTTTGCCCACTGACAAAGACATGATCAGTCTATACTTTTAATGGTAGGTTTATTTGAACAGTGAGAGACAGAATAACAACAAAAAATCCAGAAAAACGCATGTCAAAAATTTTATAAATTGATTTGCATTTTAATGAGGGAAATAAGTATTTGACCCCTCTGCAAAACATGACTTAGTACTTGGTGGCAAAACCCTTGTTGGCAATCACAGAGGTCAGACGTTTCTTGTAGTTGGCCACCAGGTTTGCACACATCTCAGGAGGGATTTTGTCCCACTCCTCTTTGCAGATCTTCTCCAAGTCATTAAGGTTTCGAGCCTGACGTTTGGCAACTCGAACCTTCAGCTCCCTCCACAGATTTTCTATGGGATTAAGGTCTGGAGACTGGCTAGGCCACTCCAGGACCTTAATGTGCTTCTTCTTGAGCCACTCCTTTGTTGCCTTGGCTGTGTGTTTTGGGTCATTGTCATGCTGGAATACCCACCCACGACCCATTTTCAATGCCCTGGCTGAGGGAAGGAGGTTCTCACCCAAGATTTGACAGTACATGGCCCCGTCCATCGTCCCTTTGATGCGGTGAAGTTGTCCTGTCCCCTTAGCAGAAAAACACCCCCAAAGCATAATGTTTCCACCTCCATGTTTGACGGTGGGGATGGTGTTCTTGGGGTCATAGGCAGCATTCCTCCTCCTCCAAACACGGCGAGATGAGTTGATGCCAAAGAGCTCGATTTTGGTCTCATCTGACCACAACACTTTCACCCAGTTCTCCTCTGAATCATTCAGATGTTCACTGGCAAACTTCAGGCGGCCCTGTATATGTGCTTTCTTGAGCAGGGGGACCTTGAGGGCGCTGCAGGATTTCAGTCCTTCACGGTGTAGTATGTTACCAATTGTTTTCTTGGTGACTATGGTCCCAGCTGCCTTGAGATCATTGACAAGATCCTCCCGTGTAGTTCTGGGCTGATTCCTCACCGTTCTCATGATCATTGCAACTCCACGAGGTGAGATCTTGCAAGGAGCCCCAGGCCGAGGGAGATTGACAGTTCTTTTGTGTTTCTTCCATTTGCGAATAATCACACCAACTGTTGTCACCTTCTCACCAAGCTGCTTGGCGATGGTCTTGTAGCCCATTCCAGCCTTGTGTAGGTCTACAATCTTGTCCCTGACATCCTTGGAGAGCTCTTTGGTCTTGGCCATGGTGGAGAGTTTGGAATCTGATTGATTGATTGCTTCTGTGGACAGGTGTCTTTCATACAGGTAACAAGCTGAGATTAGGAGCACTCACTTTAAGAGTGTGCTCCTAATCTCAGCTCGTTACCTGTATAAAAGACACCTGGGAGCCAGAAATCTTTCTGATTGAGAGGGGGTGAAATACTTATTTCCCTCATTAAAATGCAAATCAATTTATAAAATTTTTGACATGCGTTTTTCTGGATTTTTTGTTGTTATTCTGTCTCTCACTGTTCAAATAAACCTACCATTAAAATTATAGACTGATCATTTCTTTGTCAGTGGGCAAACGTACAAAATCAGCAGGGGATCAAATACTTTTTTCCCTCACTGTATATAAAGCAAACCAGATGGCATCATTTTCTTGTTTTATTTTATTTATGGATAGCCAGGGACATGCTCCAACATTCAGACATAATTTACAAACCAAGCATGTGCTTATTGAGTCTGCTACATCAGAGGCAGCAGGGATGTTCTCTTGATAAGTGTGTGAATTAGGCCATTTTCCTGTCCTGCTAAGCATTCAAAATATAACGAGTACTTTTGGGTGTCAGGGAAAATGTATGGAGTAAAAAGTATATAATTTTCTTTAGGAATGTAGTGAAGTAAAAGTAAAAGTAGTCAAAAATATAAATAGTAAAGTACAGATACCCCAAAAAACTACTTAAGTAGTACTTTCAAGTATTTTTACTTAAGTAGTTTACACTACTGCTACTCACATATGATAAGAGGTAGAACCCCAATCAATCGATATAGATATCGATTTGTTTTGATGTGCAGAAAAGTGAACAGTCTAGCCTACATAATTAGGTAAGTTACTGTCTCTTTCTGAAGTAGCCTTCCTACTAAAAGGACAACATAGAAGCAAACCACCAAATATCTTTTAAAAACGTAATAAAAAAACGAACAATTGTTGGACTTTTGAACTTGATATACCTATCACCATATAATGCTTATAATACACTGAATATACTCTGAGTCAGATGCCTAGTATTATATCGCTAAGGAAGTTGGGAAATGACCTTATGTATAGTCATCATAAAGAATTTAAGGAGGGTTGTGCTCTCCTTCTAGCATGGCAATGATTTAGTACTAGCCACAGAGGGATGGACAGGCTTCCCTGTTCACAAGTAGGCACTTTTCACACTGTAAGGTGCATCATATCTACACAGAGTTTAAGTCTCAGCCATTTGGAAAGTCCCTGTTTGTTCAGAAGGTTACATTTTGGCAGTTCTTTCCTAAAGTTAAGAAGCTGATTACTTAAACATGGCAAAAAAAATCGTATTTTATTCTAAGATGTTGTATTATTAATGCAACACAGCATTAGAGTTTTAACCTTAAAGCTACTGCATCAATAATAATATTCTTAAGTACTCCTGACCCGGTAGGTAACCTTTTTTCTTTCTTTCAAAGAAAGCCTATTGTGCCCATAGCCAGTGTTATGAGCAGAGTTAGCTAGGGATGATGTCTCACTGAAGCAAGGCTAAATAAGGGATTTCCAGATAGGTGTGGCTATGTGCTCTTATGAACGAAAGTCAAAGATAGTGTTCTTCCTATGTGTTTTGTAAACCTGTATATGGACCAAAGTACTGATGTACAAACGTTGAATACACACACAGAGACCAACAGATGGACGGACACACACACACACACACGCACACGCACACGCACACACACATACACACACGCACACACATTTAGTGGAATGTAGTCTCTGGACAAACAGAGAGAGAGTGAGAGAGCCAGTAGTGGAGAGGATGGATGTCTGCAGAACAGAGCCAGTTGTGCCCAGAGACTGAGCCAGAGGCAGGCTGCATTTTTGGCCAAGCACTCCGTAGCACTGAGGAAACTCCGATGGGGAAATTGGCCTGATCTGGTCCTAAAGGCTTCCAGGTCTGTGTGTGTGTGTCCCACCAGAGACCTAGCAGGAGGACAATTAGGAGAGCTAACTTCATGCACTACTGCTGGCCCACTTTCTCTCCTGCTGGCAGGAAAAACACTGTCAAGCCATAAAGGTGCAATCCGCAGTTCAAACTACAACAACTCGGTCACCCTGCCACTGTTTTGGTAAACAGCTGAGGGATGGGGCTGGATAAATGTAACCACTCTTAAATTCATAGACGGAGCTATGGATGTAAGGACTGAACGTCCATGATGTCAAAATTATAGTTTCAACCATGTTTTGAGGCTATACAGTGTTTGTTTACCATTACATTGTTTTCAAACCAGTTCATACATTGGGTTATGATGGAGTATAACAGTTGAACTAAGCTCTTGAGGCATTTATAAGTCCTATTCTTCAAGAATCAATGGGTATTTATCATTAATTTAAACGTCTAAAAATGGATGTACCAATAGCAGATTACCCCTTTTTAATAGGGGTGCAATCAAAAAGTTGGGCCATGGATAGACCCTCATCACACACACACACACACACACACACACACACACACATATACACACACACACCTAATGAACACGTCCCAGGGTTGGAGGTTCCGGGTTACTCCCTCAAATCGTGGCCTCACCTCTTTAACGTGAGCCCTAGTGCCCCTCAGCTTCCCTCCTCCCAACCCCCCTCTGATCCCTCATTAAATGTAAACAGACGCAGCTGTCCCCCTCTGAGGAATTACCCACACACCCCTTCTGGTGACACAAACAGAAACACACAGCAGCAGCATACTGCACAGTTTTGGAAATTGCCTCTTATGCTTCACATCTGTTGTTCTCTTTCTTCTTTATCTCTCTCACATATACCCACTTCTATCAATCTCTCTCTCTCTCTCTCGCTCTCTCTCTCTCTCTCTCACACACACACACATATACCCACTTCTATCAATCTGGCTCTCTCTCTCTGTCTCTCTCTCTCTCACACACACATATACCCACTTCTATATGTCTCTGTCTCTGTCTGTCTGTCTCTCGCTCTCGCTCTCGCTCTCTCTCTCTCGCTCTCTCGCTCTCTCTCTCTCTCTCTCTCTCACACACACACACACATATACCCACTTCTATCTCTCTCTCTCTCTCTCTCTCTCTCTCTCTCTCTCTCTCTCTCTCTCACACACATATATACCCACTTCTATCTACCCCTCTCTCTCTCTCTCTCTCTCTCTCTCTCTCTCACATATACCCACTTCTATCTACCTCAACAAGATTCAACAACTGAGACATAAACTGAACAAGTTCCACAGACATGTGACTAACAGAAATGGAATAATGTGTCCCTGAACAAAGGAGGGTCAAAATCAAAAGTAACAGTAAGTATCTGGTGTGGCCGTCAGCTGCATTAAGTACTGCAGTGCATCTCCTCCTCATGGACTTCACCAGATTTGCCAGTTCTTGCTGTGAGATGTTACCCCACTCTTCCACCAAGGCACCTGCAAGTTCCCAGACATTTCTGGGGGGAATGGCCCTCACCCTCCGATCCAACAGGTCCCAGACGTGCTCAATGGGATTGAGATCCGGGCTCTTCGCTGGCCATGGCAGAACACTGACATTCCTGTCTTGCAGGAAATCACGCACAGAACGAGCAGTATGGCTGGTGGTATTGTCATGCTGGAGGGTTATGTCAGGATGAGCCTGCAGGAAGGGTACCACACGAGGGAGGATGATGTCTTCCCTGTAACGCACAGCATTGAGATTGCCTGCAATGACAACAAGCTCAGTCCGATGATGCTGTGACACACCGCCCCAGACCATGACGGACCCTCCACCTCCAAAATGATCCCGCTCCAGAGTACAGGCCTTGGTTTAACGCTCATTCCTTCGACGATAAACACAAATCCGACCATCATTTTGGCGAAAACCAAACTCTGCATTCCACAGTAAGAACATCATACCAAAGGTCAAGCATGGTGGTGGTGGTGTGATGGTTTGGGGATGCTTTGCTGCCTCAGGACCTGGACGACTTGCCTTAATAGAAGGAACCATGAATTCTGCTCTGTATCAGAGAATTCTACAGGAGAATGTCAGACCATCCGTCTGTGAGCTGAAGCTGAAGCGCAGCTGGGTCATGCAGCAAGACAATGATCCAAAACACACAATCAAGACTACATGAAAATTGCTAAAAAGCAACAAATTGGAAGTTTTGGAATGGCGTAGTCAAAGTCCAGACCTAATCCCAATTGAGATGATGTGGCAGGACTTGAAATGAGCAGTTCATGCTTGAAAACCCACACATCACTGAGTTAAAGCAGTTCTGCATGGAAGAGTGGCCCAAAATTCCTCCACAGCGACATGAGAGACTGATCAACAACTACAGGAAGCATTTGGTTGGAGTCATTGCAGCTAAAGGTGGCACAACCAGTTATTGAGTGTAAGGGGGCAATTACTTTTTCACACAGGGGAATTGGGTGTTGCATAACTTTGTTTATGAAATAAATATGTAGTTGTTGTGTTATTTGTTCACTTATGTTCCCTTTATCTAATATTAGGTTTTGGTTGAAGATCTGATAACATTCAGTATCACAAATATGCAAAAGTAGAGAAAATTAGAAAGGGGGCAAATACTTTTTCATAGCTCTGTATATCTATCTATCCATCTCATCGACAGACAGACAGACAGACAGACAGACAGACAGACACATTGTGGTTTGTTGATGGTGACAGGCAATAGGCAAGAGCAGGGGGAGCCTGTCTTTCTACTGCATAGCTGCCTAGCTGATCTAGTGACAAGAGTATTGTCTGCTCTCCCTCCTGTTTTATGACTAGAGAAAGACTTCTGGCCCTATTATGTGGAGGTGAAGAAAGCCACAGGAGCAATTTAACAATACTTTAAGATAAGCTACTTTGCTCTCTGTCTGTGTGTTTCTGTCTGTCTGTGCATGTCTGTGTGTTTCTGTCTGTCACAGGAGGTTGGTGGCACCTTAATTGGGGAGGACGGGCTCGTAGTAATGACTGGAGCGGAATCAGTGGAATGATATAAAATACATCAAACACGTGATTTCCAACCTCGGTTCTAAGACCACAGGCATGGGACTGTTCCCGCCATTATTATAAGCCGTCCTCCGGCGTTGTCTGTGCTTCTTCTCAAGCGCGTGTGTGCTTCTTCGTGAGGCCGTGTGTGCTTCTATGTGTGTGTGATGAACTGTTTACATCAGTCCCATGCCTGTGGTCTTTGATGTCACGGCCACACACACAAGAACCGAGGTTGTTTGACATTTGTTCCATCTGCTTTACTGTCAGTCTGTCCCTAAGCCACTGGCCTCCAACAGTATAGTACGATCTTCTGATAGATGGACTCTCTATCTCTCAGGGGGTCTCTCTCATTCTCCATACCATACATATACATTATATTCTCTTGTCACACTCTGTTCTATCTGTGTTATTTAGTGCCTAGTTTTGTACAGGAACGTGAGCATGAAAGCAAGTAATTGGAATTCCAGCCATTGGTGCATGCCTGCTAGGAAAGCATATCCGAGGACAAAATGTAATTGAGCAGTTTCCTATACCACCAGTTTCCTATACCACCAGTTTCCTATACCACCAGTTTCCTATACCACTAGTTTCCTATACCACCATTAATTTTCATCTTGTGTGTTTTTATGTTTGTTTCAGTTTTACATCTCCCCCTCTCTTCTTCTCGTTAGCTTTATTAGTATGTGTGTAATATGCAAGGGAGCCAGCACTAACTGTTCCACTGCATGTCTCTCTCTCTCTCTCTCTCTCTCTCTCTCCCCATCTCTCTCTAGCCCCCATCTCTCTCTCGCCCCCATCTCTCTCTCGCCCCCATCTCTCTCTCTGTATGCCCACATGCCCTAGCTTACCAACAACATCCCAACAGCAGCCTCTCTGTCTCGTTGCCATCACAGGTGGTTTTTTATAGGGCACAAACAACACCATTTCGCCATACATGAGCATGGCAACCTGCAGTTAGAGCTGGAGTCATTTTGTGTTATTCTTGTTTACAGGGTATTAGAGGGGCGTTTTTCTATTCATTAAGTGAACTGAGTTGAGTTGATAGAGCCTTCACTGTGGGGCACAGTGCAGCTATGGGCTATGACCCAAATGGCACCACATTCCTTATATAGTGCAGCACTTTTGACCAGAGCCCATAGGGTGCCATTTGGGATGCAGCCATGCTGTTTGGGTCATTCTAAATGAACCAAAACCTACTTGAGATCCTTACTTACTTGTAATCTTGCGTTGATGTCAATGGAAGATCTACATGAAAATGTACGCATATAAATTACACTCATGGATCACAAGTTGTGTCCAAATCCATTACTAAACTGAGCACAGTACAGTACAGTATACAGAGTATAGCTATGTTTCTTTAGGTGTTGTTATTTTTGTTGATGGGTATGATGGTGCTCTCTGTGAAGGGGTAGAGGATGGATTGATGTTGAGCAATGACAGCGAGGGTGGCGCTCCACTGTTATGGAAACAACAATGGGGGTGCCTGTGTGTGTGGCCCGGGGCGGGCAGCGCGGAGCGTCTCCCCCTGGCACCAGCCATGGAACAGCACTGGGCTCATGGAGGCTTTTCAGCTCGAGAGCTTTTCAGATAAACTGCTCTCATTCTCTAATCTCTCTCTCCCTCTGGCACACATGCTTTTTCTCGCTCGCTCTCTCTCTCGCTCTTCATCCATCACTCTCTCTCTTTCTCTATTTTCTCTCCCTCTCCCCTGTTACTTTCTTTTGCTCCACAATGACGGCCATTCACCACGACACTTCACCAATAACAAAGTGCTCTGAAGAAAAACTAAGGAGAACAAAATGTCTGAAATGCCATGGAAGGCAGTTGGGATTTCTGCTTGACATTCTCTCCTGTTCTCGGACCCGGAGTCGAGCCACTGCGTGTCCACTGTGGGGCCATTGTTTTCCATCCCCTGTGTGTGGGAGAGAGGGATGGAGGAGGTATGACGGGAGTGGATGGGGGCAGCTGAGCCAGCCTGGCCTGGTGCCCAATGGGAGAAAGCGAGATGCATGACAACAACAAAGTAGAATGGAGATGGATACTGTTGAAAGGTCACAAAGGCTATTACCATAGTTGAGCCGTTACACCTGTGGTGGTCCCGAAAAAGCTGCTTGAAATTCAGGAGTTTTGTTAACTCGTGTGAAGAGACTGCAATGTTTTTGTGGAGACTTTAAACCTTGATTGGATGTACAAAAAGCAAATATATTTAATCCGACAATTTATCTGTTAAAACCACACTAAAAAGCATTCCCAGTCAATGTGGTATGTCAGTGTGACATCAGTCTGAGTTGCCCTTGCTGCCACATAGTGAATGGGCTGACATTGTGAATGGCTGACTGCAGCTGACAGGGAATGTATTGTTATGGGCCTCCGTCATCATGGCTGCCAGTGGGGTGAGTTGTTGTTGTTCTTGTCAGATGTTGTTAATTGAACATGGCTAGCTAGTAGCTACAGGGCCGTAGCTACATACGAGGACACCGAGGTCCGGACCTCTGTAATTTATTTGAATGAAATCAAATACAATTTGGGAACTGAGTTGGGGTCTCAACTTACTGTTGCGAGGTAGAATAGTAGAATACACGAGGTGAAATTTCTAACCTTGGTTGTGCATCAGCAGTTTTCCTCTTGTTATAGTATGTCACTCACTGACAGTCACTCAATTAGCCCATGTCAGTAAAAAATGTTTTTTAGATAGCTGGCTAGACTAACTAGACTAATCTTAACTTGTAGTAATCATGGCCCAATTACCAGCCAGGCACACAGGGCACGTGCCCAGGGGCCCTGACCTCCAGGGGGCCCCCATTTGATTTTCTTAGTCACTCTCACTTAGATATTATATTACTGTAACTTGGCATAAGTCATGGCAAAATGTGTAGAATTGCAGGAAATGAGTTGTAAAACTACAACAACAAAAAGTTATGTAAAGCAAATGTATTTGTTTACCTTTTGTTTATAAAATACTTGTTCTGCGAACAAAGCCCTCTGTACGTATTAAATTATAGCTTTTAATCCCAGTGCTGAGTTAATGTTTAGCGGCTAACTGTATAGCTAATAGGCTATGACCGCTATGTGTTTGTAGATCGACTGGCGTGAATGAAGCTACAGCAACTAATGTGATAATGGCTGGGGTCATCTTTGCTTGTTTTTGCTGTTCTCCTCCAGACCTCACTAAAACCCAGACCCTGGCTACAGCCAGCCTAGCTAGTGCACTTAGCATCAGTTGGTCGTGGCTGAAGACTTTTGAAGTGCTCTCCCTCAGTCCTCATTCGTCTTGAGTGATTACTTCCTACTTCCTCTCCTCCGAAACAGCACCCATATATGGTAATGCTGGGAGAAGCACGGTCTGACTGTGATTCAGTTTCTCTCTCCTTCTATGCTCTTTTCAATGAATGGAAAACTTCTCAACCCACCTGACCCCTTTCCTAAATAAAACACAGCCAAGGAAGCGAAAAAGATGACTGCTAAATAGGCTACAAGTTGCCCTATAACTAACCACAAGACTACCTTTGTGTTGTCTAGAATACAACAACATACATACACAAACTGAAAATACAATCCCCCCCACAAATGTTTATTAAGTCTTCCATGTTCCAAATGTTGTTTAATTGCATAAAACCACCCCTTTTTAAGATAAATCCCTAAAGGTATATTTTACCCACTAGACAGCCTTGCATTACTTACATTTACATTTACGTCATTTAGCAGACGCTCTTATCCAGAATAACTTATTACTTGCTAAATGTGAAAATGTTGGCCGTTGTCCAAACACTAAAAACACAAGGCAACAATAACAGGGCAAATGTAATGAAAAATTATCTCTAACTCCAATGCCTTCAGCCCTGTCTCTGAATAACAGCGCTCTCTGCTCTAAGCTGCTTAGATATGTACCCTGCTTTAGTTTCCCTCTCCACACTGTCCTTTTTAGGCTCATCATCTACCATGGATCGCTTTGTGATGCAACTCTCTCTGGTTGGGTTTGTTACATCAGGATGTAGTGTAGGAACGTGACTGACTCCTCTCCTTTTTGGCCCAGACAAGACAAGCTAGCCCTCAGGAGGTTTTCTGCTGTGTTGTGTTGTGTGTGTGTCTGTGCTCTGTGTCCCAGCTAGCACATTTTGTTCCTTGGAAGTTGTGGAAATGTATGTTTTTGGTTTGACGTTGGTTGTAGGAATGAAGCCACAATTTGAGAAACGCTATGCTGAACTACTGAAATTCCCACAGCAGAATGTTGTTTCTTAATGTTCATGGAACAATTTGAGAACATAACTTTAAATAGAACCATGAAAAAACCTGTAGGAAACGTTATGAGGTACTGAAATTCCCACAGAAGAACGTTGTTTCTTAATGTTCATGGAACAATTTGAGAACATAACTTTAAATAGAACCATGAAAAAACCTGTAGGAAGCGTTATGCTGAAGTACTGAAATTACCACAGAAGAACGTTGTTTCTATGTTGCAGCTATCCTGCATCATTCCCAGAAAGTTGTGGGAAGATTGTATGCAATATAAGTATAGGACATATGCTTCTCAGAACATTATGCGCTAGCTGGGGGGGGTGTGTGTACACTAAGTGTGTGTGTACTGTGTTGTGTGTGTGTGTATGCATAGGCCGTGTGGAATGTTGTGTGTCTCAGGGGAGGGGCAGTGCCAGGCTGTCCTTTGAAGTCACACACAGTTCACAGACAGATACAAGATAGAAGGTGAGGGGGGGTGGAAGGACCACCTAGCTAGCACATTTGGTTCCTTGGAAGTTGTGGGAATGTACGTTTTTGGTTTCCCGTTGGTTCTGGGAACGAAGCCATAAGTTTCCTGACCGGTAAAACAGAACATTTTTTAAATGTTCTGAGAACGGAATTGAAAATGTTGCCTGTTCTGGAAACGTCCATTTTTAGGTTGCAGGGAGATTCCGAGAACCTTTTTACTATGGTTCCCTGAAAGTTTTCCTTGGAGGTTTTATTAACGTTCTGAGAATGGAAATTATAGGTTATTTTGAGGTTTTTGAATAACTTCCTTAACTTTCAATAACACTTTTAATAACACTGCTAGCTTAGTTTGGGTTAACTGTTTTGAACTCCAAGCACATAGGACACATGGAAATACATTTTCTTGGACATTAATGCAAACACATTTATTTTTATTATGGCAGGGCGTCAGTGAGATTTGAACCTGATTTTCTGTTCTCTATCCATAGAATTAGTCCACTGCACCACCATTTTAGTCTATTCAAACAGACCCCATTTCAAAGAAAACAAGAACTCATTAAGGTCAGGCGTGGCCAATTAGTGGACGCGGCCAACACACCTGAACACACTTAACAAAATAGAGGATAGAGAGAGTTTTGTTGACGAATGGAATGTTTTTAAATAACATTTTTAGAACGTTCTTAGAACGTTACAAATGTTTTCTTGTGGTTTTTATGGAACGTTTTCTTAATGTTCTGAGAACATGACTTTAAATAGAACCTTGAGGAAACCTGTAAGAATTGTTATGAAGTACTGAAATTCCCACAGAAGAACATTGTTTGTTAACGTTCTCTGAACTATTTGAGAACATTCCCAATGTCAAACCAGTTGGAAAACAGTAATGAAATACCAAGAAAATAACATTATTTTATCAAGTTCCTTTAAATGTGCTGAGAATGTTTCAAATCCAAGCAACTATCCTGCACCATTCCCAGATTGTTGTGGGAAGGTTGAATGCAAAATAACCTTAGGACAACCATGCTCTCACCAAGCTCTAAGAAACATATGGTTCTCAGAACGTTATGCGCTAGCTGGGCAGGATTCCACAGCTTTTAGAAGAACCATAAGATAAATAGAGAGAGGGAGAAAGGGGGAAAGAAGAGGAGAGGATAGAAGAAGAGGGTCTGGATGGGAGAGATGCATAGCAGTGATCTGATCTGGCAGAGGGAAGAGTGCAGGCCACTGGAAAGGACATTTTGTACTGGCATAGGAAGGGTCAGGTTGTGTACCCCTATTCTCCTCTGACCCCCCTTTGCAGTCTGTACGTGTGGGTACACACACACACACACTGTCAGAACATGGCCAAATTAGGAGTGATGAATTGGATGTTGGAGTGAGAGGTTCCCTTTTCAAACAAAACCAAAGTAAAACCTAACTTGTAACCCATACCAACCTCTCATACAAAGCAATAGAAATCCACAAAACACTTCAATGTCTTTTCAACTCAAGCACATTTGACAAAATTACAGTTTATTCTATAGGGCTCTGGCTCATTTTGACTCGGCGCAACCGAACAAGTGGTGACGCCTATTCATAAACATCCTGGCCCTAGGGTGTGCTGTTGTAGTCTGCTCACCACGTCAGTCAGTGGCCATGACATGACACATTAGTATTCACACCATGGAGTAGGTGGAGTGGAGCTCTGCCTTCAGCTAGCAACCAACGCTCATCAACATCTTGCCTCGCAGATGACCTGCCTGGTGTGTTGCCATGGTGACTGCCTGTGGTACCACCCCTCGCCGTCGAACGCTGCAGTGCAGAGAAAAGGGGCAGGGTTAGTGGATTGATACCTCCCATGAATCCTCCAGTGGTTGCATCTGAAGTCAAGGTCACAAGACTGTGGGTGGCAGGCAGCAGTGTGTGTGTGTGTGTGTGTGTGTGTGTGTATGTGTACGTGTCAGTGTACATGTCTTTCTTTCTGTGTGTGTGTGTGTGTGTTTTACAATGATGTGTACATGTGTGTGCGCACATCTTTGTGTGTTGTGGATGTGTGTGTGTGTGTGTGTGTGTGCGTGTAAAGCACATTGTCTTGTGCCTTGTAATTCCGTTACCAAAAACCCACATATCTTTAAGATATTTTCTAATTTCTCTCCATCATGAGGAGGGAGGATGATGAAAGTTCACAGAAGTAACAAGTAAAGGTAGACCTACCAATTAGGTATATTGTTTTTGTTTATTGATTATTAAGTTATTAAAACTCATAGTTCTGTTACCAAATCAGTAACGAAATTACTGCAATTGAAATTGGCTACAATGGGAAATCATAGTAGTCACAAACTACAGTTGGGTCACCTGCTACTGTCCTCCCTTCCACTGGCATACTGTTCAGCTCATAACTGTCTTTCTGTCGTCAAAGCAAGACTGTGAAAACAGTCTGGACAACCCCTCCTTCTCACTTTCGCTCTCTCTCTCTTTCTCTTTGCCGCTCTCTCTCTCTCTCTCTTCTATTTCTCTCCAGTTAATGTCACCTCTCCCGGCTCTTACTGACACCTACCATGACACTTACCACCTACACTCTTAGAAAAAATGGTTCCAAAAGGATTATTTGGCTGTCCCCATAGGACAGGGGTGTCAAACTCATTCCATGGAGGGCCTAATGTCTGCTGGTTTTGTTTTTTCAGACCTAGACAACCAGGGGAGGGAAGTTCCTTACTAATCAGTGACCTTAATTCATCAATCAAGTCCAAGGGAGGAGCAAAAACCTGCAGACACTCGGCCCTCTGTGGAATGAGTTTGACACGTGCCATAGAAGAACCCTTTGTGGTTCCAACTAGAACCATTTTGGGTTCCATGCATAACCCTCTGTGGAAAGGTAGCACCTTTCTAAGAGTGTACCCTCTTTCCATTTACTGTAACAAGCATCCTCACCCACTGAGCACCGACCCACAACGGACGTCCATGGACTCTGAAAAGTAGGAGAAATTTGGTCAGTCTGCCCTGGCCGGACCAAATCTGAGCCAATCATAGACGTCTGTTTCACAAGTTTGGACAGCACAGTAGAGAACAGTAGAGAACAGTAGAGTACAGTAGAGCACAGTACAGCTGGCCTATCAGCTAGAGCGTTGAGCCAGTAACCGAAAGGTTGCCAGTTCGAATTCCCGAGCCGACAAGGTGAAAAATGTGTTGTTCTGCCCTTGAGTAAGGCAGTTAACCCTCCTCAACAACAGCTCCCCGGATGACCAACGTGTCAGCCCCCTGCACCTCTCCGATTCAGAGGGGTTGGGTTAAAAGCGGAAGTCAGGTTTTGGTTGGACCTTGTGTGCAATTGACGATACAAATAAATGTAATCCTTTACAGAACAGTAAAGTAGAGTACAATATTGTAGACTCTTGAGCACACTAGAGTACAGTATACCGTACTCTATTGTACTGTAATCTACTGTACTGAACATATCTACTTTACTGTACTGTACAGAACTCCACTACTCTACTGTGCTGTACTGTGATGTCCAAACTTGTGAAACATAGATGTCTATGATTTGGTTCAGATTTAGTCTGGTCCGGACCAACCAAATGTGGTCTTGTTTGGGGGCGGATTACAATAACAGCCAGTGTGTACAATAATACCCAAATATGCAAAAGAAGGATATTGCATATCACCATGAAGAGAATTATATTAATATCTGTAATTATGCATTTCTGCATCAAGGATGCAATTATGCACCAGGGACCCATGATGTAATTCCGTTACCGGATGTAAATCCACTTTACCAACTTTAGTTCAATAACCAAAATAAAACAAATTCTACTCAAGGTGTCATGTCATAGCTGACACCCCATTCTTCCTGCAGACATATTTGAATCTTAATTTGGAGCAGATATTTAAGAGTTTTTGGAAAACGTGGTCACATAAAAAACAGAAGGCGATTTAACCGTAATTCTGTTTCCAAACTTTGCATCTGCACAGTTCTTCCAGAAATTGTTTTTGTTACATTTTCTGTGTAAATCGTTCAAAGTAGTCCTTGCCTTATGCATAGAGTTGTATGGTTTGTTAAACTATGAAAATCAATGGTTTTTGTTTGGCAGACATTTTAAAGTGAGAAATCTGAGTCAAAGCGTAATTCCATTACTGTGGAATTGCCCTGTAGCTTCGGCTGCGAGTGTGTATGTCTGTCATGTAGACCTTTCCATTACGTGTAAGGCGATCCACTCCAGTCCAGTGTTGTGGTGGCCGGCTGTGGTATCTGTGTTGATGCTCTCCTCTCCTATGTTGGGACTCCCAGTCGCTTCTCTGCAAACACCTCACGACTGGTCTGAGGGGGAGAGGTGGAGGGGGTGTGTGGAGGGTCTGAGGACAACACACACAGAGACATGCACACACCCCGCTGACCCCAGCCTCGTCAGGTTTCATCCTCACTGGAGTGTGTGTGTGTGTGTGTGTGTGTGTGTGCTGGAAGTCGGACGGTGTTGTCTATATTTCTGAGTATGACTATATTTTCTGATAGAGACCCCTCTCTAGATCACCTACTAGGAGGGCAGACTGTTCAATAGGAAGGCTAGGTCCACTTAGGTCTACCTCCTGGCCTCAAGGTATATGACTCTCTTTGGGATGCTAGAATGTGTTTAGATGTGTTTAGATAACGTTCTCCTGTGGGTTTGGAGGAGAAGAGGGAATGTTTATACAGCTTGATTAAGGTCTCGGTGCAGAAATAGCCAGGTCACACAAAGTACCAGTCGATTTGAATTCAATCACTTTTTGACAGCATCCCTTTTCATTTATAGAAAACTTTCCATACATGTTTGCCCGTGGAAGAAGTGGTAAAAAATTGACTTTTTGGACCTGAATTCCAAAACATTCAGGAGATAAAGGTGCTTGAAGTTGACCCATTTTGTATACCCCAACATACCATGAGACATGAATGTCTTTATCACTGGAAAGGATAAATGGTTGAGTTTGATATCATTTAAAAGCTTACAAACAGGGTTGTCAAACTATTTTATACATTTTGAAAACATGTTTTTTAATAAAAAATTATGACTTTTTATTAACCTTTAATGTCAATCCAGGCTCTGTCGCAGCCGGCAGCGACCGGGAGACTCATGGGCGGCGCACAATTGGCCCAGCGTTGTCCAGGGTAGGGGAGGGAATGGCCGGCAGGGATGTAGCTCAGTTGATAGAGCATGGCGTTTGCAATGCCAGGGTTGTGGGTTCGATTCCCACGGGGGGCCAGTATAAAAAAAAAATATATATGTATTCACTAACTGTAAGTCGCTCTGGATAAGAGCGTCTGCTAAATGACTAAAATGTAAAATGTAAATGTAATTATCTAAAAGCTCGTGAACTCAGTTTATTTCCTTCATATTCGCAAATGTTGTAGTTTAAACCCTACTTTACATCATCTGTGGTTTTTGTGTTGAGCCTGCCATCGTTTGAGACACAAAATGCTCTTGAATACAGGGTGGGTGTCATTTCAATCATATAAATATAAAGCATAGAATGGACATATCCCATCAAACCACAGCAATTTAGCTGGTACACCATTTACATTTTAATTTAATTTAAATTTGAAATTTAAATTTCTACACCGGTCCTCCCACCGTCGAATGTCAACTTAAATGGTCATGTCCATTCTATTATCTATATTTCTATAGGTTTCCTATAGAGGATTGACAGTATAATTTAAAACAACTGATATTCTCTGAGTTGAAATTTAAATTTGATTCCCATTTTAGTACATCTATCAGCCAAAACATGACACCCACCCTGTATTCAAGAGCATGTTTTGTCTCAACCGTTTGGCGGGCACAACACAAAAACCTCAGTTTTTTTCTCATATTTTTAGATAATTAACGTTGAAAGCAACACATTTTTACAGGATTTATCTATTTTAATTAAATAAATTATAAAATAATTTTACAACCCTGTTTGTAAGCTTTTAAATGATATCAATCTCAACAGTTTATCACTTTCTGTGCACTTCTACAACGGGCAAATATGTATGGAAGGTTTCATTCAAATCAAATGGATTTACCCCAGTGCTACGGGTCGGGTGCTAGGCAGTGGCTCAGTCATTTCTAGGAATCTCTGGTTCTCTGGCTCATGCCTGATCTGTAGTCTGTCATTAAATGGGCGGCAATGAAACTGCTAAATGGTGTACATGCTTACGGATATGGCAACTAATCCAGTGTGCATGACTTTGGCAATCTGCAATCTACATCTGCAATGTACAATTTTTTGAATATTTTGTGCTTTTTTCCTCCAAAATGCATGCAATGAAAACCCTTTCTCGTAGTTATAACTGAAGAAACCTAGTTTGCTCAAATCTATGATGAATTGTGCCCATTGTTCACAATTGACTTTTTCATTTGGAATACTTTAGGGCCACCTGTGTCTACATATAGCTACCTAAATGAATGTGACCCAATTATGTCATGTTAAATAACAACAACAACCACAGCCAGTGCTGTTTTACTGTTACAGTAGGCCTACCTGTAGCTAACATAGTGTGAGAAAAGGCACTTACTGTACACAGTCCCAGCCCTGCCCCAGTTATTTTGAATGGCTGTCATTGTGCGGGAAAATAGACTATCAGTCTATTTGGACCGCTGTGTTGACACAACCCAGGCCCTCATATTTACCCTGTTTGGCTTTTTCATGAAAACCTCACCCTTGGGACACTGGGCCGGACTGACTCGCCATGTGTTCCTGTTGTGGTTATAAACACAGATTTGAAAAATGTGAAAAGGAAGTAGGGGTGGGTGCTTGGGGGTAGTAGGCGGTACCTGCTTACTAGTGTGTTGTGCCTGCGCTCCTAACCTGAACTGGACTACCCCACTCCAGTTATCACTTCAGGCAGGCCTCGGTAGTACTGAATTTTTTTAATGTATTTTTATTTCACCTTTATTTAACCAGGTAAGCCAGTTGAGAACAAGTTCTCATTTACAACTGTGACCTGGCCAAGATAAAGCAAAGCAGTGCGATAACAACAACAACACAGAGTTACATATGGAATAAACAAAAACGTACAGTCAATAACACAATAAGCATATCCCAGTTTAGGTCACCAAGCAGTACGAACTCTTAGGATAGATGGGGGGCAAGCAATTCACATATGGTGTGCAGGGCACAACTGGGAGCTGAGGGGGGTCTGTAGCAAGCGGCAACAGTGAGAAACGTATTTCTGGAAAGGTGGATTTTTAGAAGTAGAAGCTCAAACTGTTTGGGCACAGACCTGGATAGTATGATAGAGCTCAGCTGGTAGAGCACGGCGCTTGTAACACCAAGGTAGTGGGTTTGATCCCCGGGACCACCCATACGCAAAAAAATTTTTTTATATACGCTTGACTGTAAGTCGTTTTGGATAAAAGAGTCTGCTAAATGGCATATTATATTATTATTATATCTCTACAGTAGATTGCAACTCCGCCCCCTTTGGCAGTTCTCTCTAGACGGTAAATGTTGTAGTTCGGGATGGACATTTCTGAATTTTTGGTGGCCTTCCTAAGCCAGGATTCAGACACTGCTAGAACATCAGGGTTGGCAGAGTGTGCTAACACAGTGAATAACTACAACTATTATCACGCTGACTTCTGAGAAGCCCAAAAAGAACACTGTCACATAGAATGTACAGTTGAAGTCGGAAGTTTACATACACTCGTTTTTCAACCACTCCACAAATGTATTTTTAACAAACTATAGTTTTGCCAAGTCGGTTAGGACATCTACTTTGTGCATGACACAAGTCATTTTTCCAACAATTGTTTACAGACAGATTATTTCACTTATAATTCACTGTATCACAATTTCAGTGGGTCAGAAGTTTACATACGCTATGTTGACTGTGCCTTTAGACAGCTTGGAAAATTTCAGAAAATGATGTCATGGCTTTAGAAGCTTCTGTTGGGCTAATTGACATAATTTGAGTCAATTGGAGGTGTACCTGTGGATGTATTTCAAGGCCTACCTTCAAACTCAGTGCCTCTTTGCTTGACATCATGGGAAAATCAAAAGAAATCAGCCAAGACCTCAAAGAAAATTGTAGACGTCCACAAGTCTGGTTCATCCTTGGGAGCAATTTCCAAACGCCTGAAGGTACCACGTTCATCTGTACAAACAATAGAACGCAAGTATAAATACCATGGGACCACGCAGCCGTCATACCGCTCAGGAAGGAGACGCGCTCTGTCTCCTAGAGATGAACGTACTTTGGTGCGAAAAGTGCAAATCAATCCCAGAACAACGGCAAAGGACCTTGTGAAGATGCTGGAGGAAACAGGTACAAAAGTATCTATATCCACAGTAAAACGAGTCCTATATCGACATAACCTGAAAGGCCGCTCAGCAAGGAAGAAGCCACTGCTCCAAAACCGCCATAAAAAAGACAGACTTCGGTTTGCAACTGCACATGGGGACAAAGATCGTACTTTTTGGAGAAATATCCTCTGGTCTGATTAAACAAAAATAGAACTGTTTGGCCATAATGACCATCGTTATGTTTGGAGGAAAAAGGGGAACACTTGCAAGCCGAAGAACACCATCCCAACCGTGAAGCACGGGGGTGGCAGCATCATGCTGTGGGGGTGCTTTGCTGCAGGAGGGACTGGTGCACTTCACAAAATAGATGGCATCATGAGGAAGGAAAATTATGTGGATATATTGAAGCAACATCTCAAGACATCAGTCAGGAAGTTAAAGCTTGGTCACAAATGGGTCTTCCAAATGGACAATGACCCCAAGCATACTTCCAAAGTTGTGGCAAAATGGCTGAAGGACAACAAAGTCAAGATATTGGTGTGGCCATCACAAAGCCCTGACCTCAATCCTATAGAAAATGTGTGGGCAGAACTGAAAAAGCGTGTGCGAGCAAGGAGGCCTACGAACCTGACTCAGTTACACCAGCTCTGTCAGGAGGAATGGGCCAAAATTCACCCAACTTATTGTGGGAAGCTTGTGGAAGGCTACCCGGAACGTTTGACCCAAGTTAAACAATTTAAAGGCAATGCTACCAAATACTAATTGAGTGTATGTAAACTTCTGACCCACTGGGAATGTGATGAAAGAAATAAAAGCTGAAAGAAATAATTCTCTATTCACTATTATTCTGACATTTCACATTCTTAAAATAAAGTGGTGATCCTAACTGACCTAAGACAGGGACATTTTACTAGGATTAAATGTCAGGAATTGTGAAAAACTGAGTTTAAATATATTTGGCTAAGGTGTATGTAAACTTCCGACTTCAACTGTAGGTCTGTTGCACCTGGCAGAAAAGTGAAGTGTCACTACAGATGAGATGCAGTTCTTAAAGGGACATTACACTTTCAAATCAAAGTCTGTCAGAAGTTTTCAGACCTCTGAAGTATTCTAATGTCAAGATGAAACCACAACTGATGTCGTGGGACGTGGTTTCATCTTGACATCACTCAACTTTTGAGGTCTGAAAACATATTTATGAGTGAAATGTGCCTTTAAGTTCCAGTACCCTTTGCCATCCAATCTAACTGTCTGTGTCGCTGTGTCAGTGCGGGGATGTCGCCCTGGGAAGATCGTGCAGATGTCAGAGGCTGAGGTGAGGGGCCTCTGCATTAAGTCCAGAGAGATCTTCCTCAGCCAGCCCATCCTGTTGGAACTGGAGGCTCCACTCAAAATCTGTGGTAGGTGGTGATGATGATGACAATGATGATGAATCCCCACTACATCCCCCTCCACTTTTTAACCTCATCACATTGAGTGTGATTATTATAGCACCATACAATTACATTATTATAGGATATCTATGTCTAGCGCATTGAGTAAATGCTTCTCCAGGGATTATGAAGATCTGTTGGTCTGCGCAGAACCTGTGTATCTCGAACACACATTGTTTCCCTCATGTCCAGTTCTGCACCTGTTATTCATTCATTGCCCAGACTGTTGATGGCTAGGCTATGGTAGTTAAGTATCTCCTTTCTCTCCCCTCCTCCCTCTCTCAGGTGACATCCACGGCCAGTACACAGACCTGCTGCGGCTCTTTGAGTACGGGGGCTTCCCGCCAGAGGCCAACTACCTGTTCCTGGGGGACTACGTGGACCGAGGGAAGCAGTCCCTGGAAACCATCTGTCTACTGCTGGCCTACAAGATCAAATACCCCGAGAACTTCTTCCTCCTCAGGGGCAACCACGAGTGTGCCTCCATCAACCGCATCTATGGCTTCTATGATGAGTGTGAGTAGTATGTGTGCTTGCACATGCTCTGCTCACATACACACACATACATTTCAATACATTGCCTCATGCAATTGTTTGTGTTTTATACAAGTAATTGAGCCAAATACCCCACCCCTACACACACACTAATTAATGTTTATTTGGAAAAACAAATGCAGCCATTCAACACAGGCAGCCTCTGTTACAAGAGTAAAGTTGCTGAATTGACAAGATCCCAGATGATGTTATAAAGTGTATTTAAGCTTAATCTCTCTTACTCTTTCTCCAGGTAAGCGCAGATTCAACATAAAGCTGTGGAAGACATTTACTGACTGCTTCAACTGCCTTCCCATCGCTGCCATCGTGGACGAGAAGATCTTCTGTTGCCATGGAGGTACAGTACTGCTGAAGGAGCTGTCACTCAAACTCCCTGTCTCCCGATCATAGCGTTTTGTCTTGCTCAGCAAATGAATATTAAAGTTGATGTAGCAAACCTTTTCTCCTAACTGTCAGTCAAATGAACACCCTATTGAACATCATTATTTTGTGCATTACAATAATTATTACATACTATGTATGCATGTATTCAATATGTATACAATGGAATAACAATGCAAGCAGGCGTTGGACATGAGTCATGACTATGACTAAGTGCAAAAATAGTTAAAGACTCTGTGTAGAGCAGTCTCCTACAACATGCTGGTTCTGGCAGGAGAACTGACCTTGAAAGTGTGTGGAAGTGTGTGGATTTTAAACTGATGTGTTTTGGATGACTGTGACTGAGTGCTGTTGGCTCAGTGTCTCTGTGCTCCTCTGTCTCCTACCAGGCCTCTCTCCAGACCTGCAGTCTATGGAGCAGATCCGTCGCATCATGAGACCCACAGATGTCCCTGACACGGGTAGGTCCACATACACGCACACACAATCTCCTTTCCAACTCTCCAACACTACAAAAACATGTGCTATTTCCTTTAGTGGAGAGTAGAGGTCAGTATTTCCAAAGCAAAATTTGATTAAATTGCCTACAGTAAAGCGTGATCCCAGATTATTGTACTGTACAGTAATTATTTGTTAAAGTTTTTCTGATTCTCTAAACCAGTTGACTGTTGACATTACCATAGATGGGTTATTTAAACATTCTTTCAAAGACTGTTTTTCTGTCCATGATCAACCTATTGTTATTTCAATACAGTAGACCTATCTATAGTTACATCTTAATAAGGTTCTGATACTCATTGAATAATTCACAGAAAACCTGGCGGATCTGGTTCATTTTAAAGAAGTACATTTTGACCAAGCCTAGTATCTGTTCATCAGACCTTTGTAGCACACATCTCCTTATATGGGCGCGATGTGAACCACCGAGGCCATTGTTCACTTCTCAGATCCTGCTATGGTTGTGTGTGTGTGTGCATGTTCCAGGGTTGCTGTGCGACCTGCTGTGGTCGGACCCAGACAAAGACGTTCAGGGTTGGGGGGAGAACGACCGTGGGGTCTCGTTCACGTTTGGGGCTGATGTGGTCAGCAAGTTCCTCAACCGCCACGATCTGGACCTCATCTGCAGAGCCCACCAGGTACAACTGAACTGACCTGTCATTCTGATAGAAAAAAGACACTACCCACTGGGCACAAACTGGTTGAGTCAACATTGTTTCAACGTATTGTGACGTGGAATCTACGTAGAAAATACATTGGATTTGAAAAAAGTAATCAACATAAACTGTTGTTTTGAGGGTAACATTTCAACCACAGGATTATTGTAATCATGGTAACCAAATTTTAACATAGACAAACCTTCTATAAAATGTGTTGAATTTGTACCGTTAAAACAATGTCAGATCTTCAATGTTATATCCACCATCTGAAGAAAAAAATCAATACGCTGGGTCAGCACCTCCTACTGAAGAATTGATCTATCTACAGCTACCTTTATCTACAGTCTCCCATCCAGGGTTTTAACCATGCCCAGCATAGCTATGATATTTGTCACCGACTATTACCAATATGCTATTGTGAGAGTGATTATTGAGCAATCTCCACTTAAAAACTAAATAGATTTACTGTTGCTATCAAAGTAATTTCAAAGGGTAGATTTAACAGAGCAAATTAAATGTGACCATATTTTATCGCTTTTACCATCAATGATGGCCTATATAGCATTTGCAAAGTCATCAACAGCTATTGTTTGAATTCAACACAGAATTCAACTAAAAATAGACAGTACAATAGGCCTAGGGTTTCAAGCTCTGGTCGATTTCAAATGTAATGATATTTAGTGATATTTAATTGTGTTTGGTTGTCAACGCAACCAACTATCAACATTTAAAGGAGATGTATCTTCTGCTTAGATACTTCCATCTGTGCCACTGAATTCGTCTGGCTTTAATTCCAATTGGTTTGCAAATTAATAATTTATCATTTGGATTCACGTCTCCATCTCAACCAAAAATAAAAGTTAAAGAATGGGATTAAGCCATTTACTCAGGTGGAACTATCCAAGCAATAGATACATCTCCTTTAAATGTTGATATTTGGTTGCGTTGTCAACCAAAGACAATTCAATATGACTTTTGTAATACAGTAAATAGCCTAAAGTTAAGGCTATTTTACAAACGTTTGTAGCATTCAACCTTTAAAATAAGTAACACATCCATGGGCACATTTTGAGGTTACTGTACTATAAACGTCTTCTTACAGTGGGGGAAAAAAGTATTTAGTCAGCCACCAATTGTGCAAGTTCTCCCACTTAAAAAGATGAGAGAGGCCTGTAATTTTCATCATAGGTACACGTCAACTATGACAGACAAAATGAGATTTTTTTTTTCAGAAAATCACATTGTAGGATTTTTAATGAATTTATTTGCAAATTATGGTGGAAAATAAGTATTTGGTCAATAACAATGGCAATGACACAGGTCAAACGTTTTCTGTAAGTCTTCACAAGGTTTTCACACACTGTTGCTGGTATTTTGGCCCATTCCTCCATGCAGATCTCCTCTAGAGCAGGGGCTGTCGCTGGGCAACACGGACTTTCAACTCCTTCCAAAGATTTTCTATGGGGTTGAGATCTGGAGACTGCCTAGGCCACTCCAGGACCTTGAAATGCTTCTTACGAAGCCAATCCTTCGTTGCCCGGGCGGTGTGTTTGGGATCATTGTCATGCTGAAAGACCCAGCCACGTTTCATCTTCAATGCCCTTGCTGATGGAAGGAGGTTTTCACTCAAAATCTCACGATACATGGCCCCATTCATTCTTTCCTTTACACGGATCAGTCGTCCTGGTCCCTTTGCAGAAAAACAGCCCCAAAGCATGATGTTTCCACCCCCATGCTTCACAGTAGGTATGGTGTTCTTTGGATGCAACTCAGCATTCTTTGTCCTCCAAACACGACAAGTTGAGTTTTTTACCAAAAAGTTCTATTTTGGTTTCATCTGACCATATGACATTCTCCCAATCCTCTTCTGGATCATCCAAATGCACTCTAGCAAACTTCAGACGGTTCTGGACATGTACTGGCTTAAGCAGGGGGACACGTCTGGCACTGCAGGATTTGAGTCCCTGGTGGCGTAGTGTGTTACTGATGGTAGGCTTTGTTACTTTGGTCCCAGCTCTCTGCAGGTCATTCACTAGGTCCCCCTGTGTGGTTCTGGGATTTTTGCTCACCGTTCTTGTGATCATTTTGACCCCACGGGGTGAGATCTAGCGTGGAGCTCCAGATTGAGGGAGATTATCAGTGGTCTTGTATGTCTTCCATTTCCTAATAATTGCTCCCACAGTTGATTTCTTCAAACCAAGCTGCTTACCTATTGCAGATTCAGTCTTCCCAGCCTGGTGCAGGTCTACAATTTTGTTTCTGGTGTCCTTTGACAGCTCTTTGGTCTTGGACATAGTGGAGTTTGGAGTGTGACTGTTTGAGGTTGTGGACAGGTGTCTTTTATACTGATAACAAGTTCAAACAGGTGCCATTAATACAGGTAACAAGTGGAGGACAGAGGAGCCTCATAAAGAAGAAGTTACAGGTCTGTGAGAGCCAGAAATGTTGCTTGTTTGTAGGTGACCAAATACTTATTTTCCACCATAATTTGCAAATAAATTCATAAAAGATCCTACAATGTGATTTTCTGGATTTCTTTTTCTCAATTTGTCTGTCATAGTTGACGTGTACCTATGATGCAAATTACAGGCCTCTCTCATCTTTTTAAGTGGGAGAACTTGCACAATTGGTGGCTGACTAAATACTTTTTTCCCCCACTGTATGTCATCTTAAAAAGCGTGCATGTTCAAGATAGCATACATAGGTTATCGCAGGTCTGTAGAGATCTTCACAATTGCTGTAATAGTCTGCGCAGAATCTTGAACGGCATTGATTACTTGCACCATGTACTTTTAATGTAATCTCAACTGCAATCCAGGTCATTTGGTTCTGCTATTAGATGAAGTACAGTGATGACACATTAATCTGTTATCAAATGGTTGAAAGCACAATGAAATACATTTGGTTGACAACTGAACCAAAAATCTGACACAGTTTTCCCATTGGAATTTGGTTGTGCTTTTTAGATGGTTTGAAGCATAGTGATAACACACTGCAAATGTAACTAACTTTTGGCTGTCTTTTTGAGTGGGTGAATATAGGTTGTAAACTCATTGATCAACATCTCAACCAAATATGCCCAATTATCCACGTTAAAATGACGTGTGCCCAGTGGGTAGCCTATAGTTTAGTCTAGTCTAGGTTCTAGACTAAGGAAGTTCATAAATTTCATAATGTACTACATTCATGGCCAGTGACCCTTGCCCTTCCTCTTCTACCTTTCCTGTGTCTCTCCAATGGTCTATCTTTCCCATAAAGGAAAGGAAAGGGGGATATCTAGTCAGTTGTACAACTGAATGCATTCAACTGAAATGTGTCTTCCGCGTTTAACCCAACCGCTCTGAATCAGAGAGGTGTGGAGGGCTGCCTTAATCGACATCCACGGCGCCCGGGGAACAGTGGGTTAACTGCCTTGCTCAGGGGCAGAACGACAGATTTTAACTTGTCATCTCAGGGATTCGATCCAGCAACCTTTCGGTTACTGGCCCAACGCTCCTACCCGCCAGGCTCATAAACCACTCCTTAAAAAAATACGTTTACTACATTCACTCTTAGATAAAGCACTCATACACTGACATGCACACAGACAACAGCACATGAAAAGTATTATAGACCTCACTTGCTGTTGCAATACTACAACTTAGTCAATGTATTTTCCAGGGCTATCTTGACTGTGATATTGCAGGTCCACTGATGTGCTGACTGTGTGTGTGCCTCCCCCAGGTGGTGGAGGATGGCTATGAGTTCTTTGCCAAGCGGCAGCTGGTGACTCTGTTCTCAGCTCCTAATTACTGTGGAGAGTTTGACAACGCCGGCGGCATGATGAGTGTTGACGAGACCCTAATGTGCTCCTTCCAGGTAACAGCAGTGTCATTGGTACCTCTGACAACAGATGTTTTCTGTCTGTATGGAGTATGATTGATGTGAATGTAATCAGAGACACTGACTGAGAACATTCTCATAAGTCCCTAAAATGTATCATTCCACACAGTGAAGTTTGTACACTGTTTAAGCAATACGCCTCTTGTCCATTCTATATTGTGATTATATCACTACTATCACCGGGATACACCTGGGGCCGAACAACAACCCTTAGGTGTGATATAATCACAAATACTGTTTAGTCTCTTATTGTCCCTATTGGTTTTAATGATTCACCAAACATCTTAAAGAAGAAATTGGTACAATTATACAGGTGGTATATGCCTTTGATTGGGATTTAGATGTACGGCCTAATGGTCCATGTATATGTCCTTGTCCACTATCACTGTGCAGATCCTGAAGCCGTCTGAGAAGAAGGCCAAGTACCAGTACGGAGGGATGAACTCCGGCCGACCCGTCACCCCGCCCCGCACAGCCGTCCCACCAAAGAAACGGTGAACGAGGGAACGTGGAAGAGAGAGAGAGGAGGGAGATGGCGGGACGTCGTGGATGAGTGACGGTCCCTCATCAGCTTTCCACAAGAGAAACACATCAGAGCAAGAAGTAGATAAAACCCAAAGCAAACTTTTTGTTTTAATTCCCCCCTCTCTGAACTGTTCTGTCGCGCACCACTCTCCTGCCAAAGGCTTTTTTAGCATCTGTGTAACCAACCACACCCGTTTTTTAAAAGTAGTGTTAAAATGAAACAATAAGAACACAAGGTGGTCATTCTGTTTGCATAACAGAGTGTTTTTTTCTTCTTGCTTTTTCGGCTTATGACAGAATGACAGGCTACTAGCTCCAGTTGACCATTTCACTCCTCCCCACCTGTCCAGTAAGAACATGTGTTAATGACGACTGCTGGGTTTTCAATAAATAAAATGGTGAATAAACCTTTTTTAGATGGTCAGTTTTTTTTTATTGATAGATGGTGCCTTCTATGCAGAAACAAAAATAGAACACCTACTCCATTAATCCTTGTTTTTTTTGGTTTTGATGTTCACCCAAGTATTGAACAAAGACATGAAAACCCCAAAATATAAAAACAATCCATTTAATGTCACCATATCAAAACTATTCCAACAGCAGCAACTCAAATTCCTCAACACAGAATAACTACGCAAATGCATGTATATACATAGCGATGATTCCCTTCGCTGTAGTAGCACGTGTTAAATGTTTCTGTTGTACAATCATACAGGATGATCCTGACTAATCAAATCCCTGCTCACAGCCACAACCTAACAAACTGATTGGCATGATTGTGGACAAACTGATTGGCATGATTGTGGACAAACTGATTGGCATGATTGTGGTTCCATAAAACAAAGCTGAATTGTATGTATTAAACACTGTACAGTAACATGTACAGTTGAAGTCGGAAGTTTACATACACCTTAGCCAAATACATTTAAACTCAGTTTTTCACAATTCCTGACATTTAATCCTAGTAAAAAGTCCCTGTCTTAGGTCAGTTAGGATCACCACTTTATTTTAAGAATGTGAAATGTCAGAATAATAGTAGAGAGAATTATTTCTTTCAGCTTTTATTTCTTTCATCACATTCCCAGTGGGTCAGACGTTTACATACACTCAATTAGTATTTGGTAGCATTGCCTTTAAATTGTTTAACTTGGGTCAAACGTTTCGGGTAGCCTTCCACAAGAATGTTGGCCCATTCCTCCTGACAGTGCTGGTGTAACTGAGTCAGGTTCGTAGGCCTCCTTGCTCGCACATGCTTTTTCAGTTCTGCCCACACATTTTCTATAGGATTGAGGTCAGGGTTTTGTGACGGCCACACCAATATCTTGACTTTGTTGTCCTTAAGCTATTTTGCCACAACTTTGGAAGCATGCTTGGGGTCATTGTTCATTTGGAAGACCCATTTGCGACCAAGCTTTAACTTCCTGACTGATGTCTTGAGATTTTGCTTCAATATATCAACATTATTTTTCTTCCTCACGATGCCATCTATTTTGTGAAGTGCACCAGTCCTCCTGCAGCAAAGCACCCCCATAGCATGATGCTGCCACCCCCGTGTTTCACAGTTGGGATGGTGTTCTTCAGCTTGCAAGCATTCCCCTTTTTCCTCCAAACGTAACAATGGTCATTATGGCCAAACAGTTATATTCTTGTTTCATCAGACCAAAAAGTACGATCTTTGTCCCCATGTGCAGTTGCAAACCGTAGTCTGGCTTTTTTAATGGCGGTTTTGGAGCAGCGGCTTCTTCCTTGCTGAGCGGCCTTTCAGGTTATGTCGATATAGGACTCGTTTTACTCTGGATATAGATACTTTTGTACCTGTTTCCTCCAGCATCTTCACAAGGTCCTTTGCTGTTGTTCTGGGATTGATTTGCACTTTTCGCACCAAAGTACGTTCATCTCTAGGAGACAGAACGCGTCTCCTTCCTGAGCGGTATGACGGCTGTGTGGTCCGATGGTGTTTATACTTGCGTACTATTGTTTGTACAGATGAACGTGGTACCTTCAGGCATTTGGAAATTGCTCCCAAGGATGAATCAGACTTGTGGAGGTCTACACATTTTTTTCTGAGGTCTTGGCTGATTTCTTTTGATTTTCCCATGATGTCAAGCAAAGAGGCACTGAGTTTGAAGGTAGGCCTTGAAATACATCCACAGGTACACCTCCAATTGACTCAAATGATGTCAATCAGCCTATCAGAAGCTTCTTAAGCCATGACATCATTTTCTGGAATTTTCCAAGCTGTTTAAAGGCACAGTCAACTTAGTGAACGTAAACTTCTGACCCACTGGAATTGTGATACAGTGAATTGTAAGTTAAATAATCTGTCTGTAAACAATTGTTGGAAAAATTACTTGTGTCATGCACAAAGTAGATGTCCTAACCGACTTGCCAAAACTATAATTTGTTAACAAGAAATTTGTGGAGTGGTTGAAAAACGAGTTTTAATGACTCCAACCTAATTGTATGTAAACTTCCGACTTCAATTGTATGTAACAGGCGGCATTTATATTCCCGACTCCTCCTCCTCATAACCAGGGTTTCAAAACCATGTTAAGGCTTATTGCCTAAAGTACTTTTACAACAGCTATTATTTAACTATCTACAACTAATAATTGAATCACTATTGCCTCGATCTGGTCTCGCTTCCTAAAAATAGTGTAATGGCATCTTTGCTTACACCTGTCCAGTTGTGTTAGGCCAGTGATTTTTTTTCAAGGAAAGAAGGATGCAGCTGCAGAGTATTCGAACAGGGCCATTGTCCTCATCAGCCCTTCATCCAGCCATTTTGAAACCAAACGGCTGTTTCACTCAACAACACTTTATGTACAGGTACCTCATTTATGTCTCTTACATATGTCTCTTACATATGACATAGTTCACTCCATTCAGAAAACACACTCTTACACTTTGATCAATCAAATCAATAGCAACGATTTCATGAGAGGGAAATGAGAATAAGATTAAAGAGATTCTCCGGTACTTTTGAATACCTTTTAGCTAGTAGTTCTGAAAGTAGCGCTCACGAGCCAAAAGAGAGAGGCCTGTAATTTTCATCATAGGTACACGTCAACTATGACAGACAAAATGAGGAAAAAAAATTCAGAAAATCACATTGTAGGATTTTTAACTTTGTTCTGATGTGTAAATAACAATAATGAAGAGACCTAGCTGTAATCATGATATGAAAACCAAAACAGAAGTTTTAAATCAAATAAAAAGTTGAAAAGAATAAGTACTTCAACTTCAGAGCCGGTAATCGTATGATTTGCTCTGATGTCGTTCCTAGGCAGGATCATAATAAATTGAACTACTTTGTTGAACAATCCATTAGTTCTCTAAAAACCCATACAGCTACAGTACTTGACTAAGGTTAGTGCCTTTACATAAAAGCTCTACAGCTAAGAAAACAAATAATGTTATACAAAAAAACTCCTTAAAATGGTCCAACTCAAAAATAATGAAAACGTCCCAAGTTTAAAGCGGTTTGGCACTGACTGTGTCCATTATTCTGATGAGGCAACCAGTGCTGCCTTCTTATCACTGTAAACCACTTGTGAAGTAGGTAGCATTATTCCCTTAAAGTCGCCTCTTAAGGCCATTCTCTCAGTTATTTCAGTGAGTATAGTGTATGTATGTGGCAGCTGGAGAGGTAATACTCAATCCCTTGTATAATATCTATCGTGGTCAGTACTAACGTCATTTTGATGCAGGCTTTATCGGTATGCAGCTCTCTATTCCCAGCCTAGGTCCTTCTACGTATGAAAATGGCATTTGGTGGCAGTGGTCGCTCAATTTACGAATGGCCATGGAGGTGACCGTCACTCAAAACAACAGGGGCTGGTGACGGATGGTGGTGGTCCCTCTGGTGTGTGTGTCTAGACCAGTAGGCGCAGTAGGAAAGAAAGGGCGGCCCCGATGGAGAGGCCCAGGGCCAGGAAGAAAGTCATCAGGGCCCCGGCCGTCTCTGCATCTTTGGATGCCACCAACCTGGGAGGAGACAGAGAGAGAGCAGACTAAATAGAGGATGACACATACTGATAGATATGATGTGCCATACAATATACACATAAATACAGTATGCATATACAGTATGTTTGGTTTCAAGTTTTGGACATCTACTTTGTGCATGACACAAGTCATTTTTCCAACAATTGTTTACAGACAGATTATTTCACTTATAATTCACTGTATCACAATTCCAGTGGGTCAGAAGTTTACATACACTAAGTTGACTGTGCCTTTAAACAGCTTGGAAAATTCCAGAAAAATATGTCATGGCTTTAGATGCTTCTGATAAGCTAATTGACATAATTTGAGTCAATTGGAGGTGTACCTGTGGATGTATTTCAAGGCCTACCTTCAAACTCAGTGCCTCTTTGCTTGACATCATGGGAATATCAAAAGAAATCAGCAAGACCTCAGACATTTTTTTGCAGACATCCACAAGTCTGGTTCATCCTTGGGAGCAATTTCCAAACGCTCGAAGGTACCACATTAATCTGTACAAACAATAGTACGCAAGTATAAACACTATGGGACCACCAGCTGTCATACTGCTCAGGAAGGAGACGTGTTCTGTCTCCTAGAGAACGTACTTTGGTGCAAAAAGTGCAAATCAATCCCAGAACAACAACAAAGGACCTTGCGAAGATGCTGGAGGAAACATGTACAAAAGTATCTATATCCACAGTAACAAAGATAATAATATCATTATAATATGCCATTTAGCAGACACTTTTATCCAAAGCGACTTACAGTCATGAGCGCATACATTTTTGTGTATGGTTGGTCCCGGGGATCGAACCCACTACCTTGGCGTTACAAGCGCCGTGCTCTACCAGCTGAGCTACAGAAGATCATACTTTTTGGAAAAATGTCCTCTGGTTTGATGAAACAAAAATAGAACTGTTTGGCCATAATGACCATCGTTATGTTTGGAGGAAAAAGGGGGAGCTTGCAAGCCGAAGAACACCGTCCCAACTGTGAAGCACTTGGGTGGCAGCATCATGCTGTGGGGGTGCTTTGCTGCAGGAGGGACTGGTGCACTTCACAAAATAGATGGCATCATGAGGAAGGAAAATTATGTGGATATGTTGAAGCAAAATCTCAAGACATCAGTCAGGAAGCTTGGTCGCAAATGGGTCTTCCAAATGGACAATGACCCCAAGCATACTTTAAAAGTTGTGGCAAAATGGCTTAAGGACAACAAAGTCAAGGTATTGGTGTGGCCATCACAAAGCCCTGACCTCAATCCTATAGAACATTTGTGGGCAGAACTGAAAAAGCGTGTGGGAGCAAGGAGGCCTACAAATCTGATTCAGTTACACCAGCTCTGTCAGGAGGAATGTGCCAAAATTCACCCAACTTATTGTGGGAAGCTTGTGGAAGGCTACCCTAAACATTTGACCCAAGTTAAACAATTTGAAGGCAATACTAATTGAGTGTATGTAAAACTTCTGACCCACTGGGAATGTGATGAAAGAAATAAAAACTGATATAAATCATTCTGTCCACTATTATTCTGACATTTCACATTCTTAAAATGAAGTGGTGATCCTAACTGACCTAAGACAGGGAATCTTTACTAGGATTAAATGTCAGGAATTGTAAAAAACTGAGTTTAAATGTATTTGGCTAAGGTGTATGTAAACTTCCGACTTCAACTGTAGATATGTATAGGGGTAAGGTGACTAGGCGTCAGGATATATGATAAACAGAGTAGCAGCAGCGTATATGATGATTGAATGTAGAGTACCAGTCAAAAGTTTGGACACACCTACTCATTCCAGGGTTTTTCTTTATTTGTAGTATTTTCTACATTGTAGAATAACAGTGTAGACATCAACACTATTAAATAACACATATGGAATCATGTAGTAACCAAAAAGGTGTTAAACAAATCAAAATATATTTGAGATTATTCAAAGTAGCCACCCTTTGCCTTGATGACGCTTTGCACACTCTTGGCATTCTCTCAACCAGCTTCATGATGTAGTCACCTGGAATGCATTTAAATTAACAGGTGTGCCTTCTTAAAAGTTAATTTGTGGAATTTCTTTCCTTCTTAATGCGTTTGAGTCAATCAGTTGTGTTGTGACAAAGTAGGGGTGGTATAAAGAAGATAGCCCTATTTGGTAAAAGACGAAGTCCATATGATGGCAAGAACAGCTCAAATAAGCAAAGAGAAACGACAGTCCATCATTACTTTAAGACATGAAGGTCAGTCAATGCGAAAAATGTCAAGAACTTTGAAAGTTTCTTCAAGTGCAGTCGCAAAAACCATCAAGCGCTATGATAAAACTGGCTCTCATGAGGACCGCCACAGGAATGGAAGTTACCTCTGCTGCAGCGGATAAGTTCATTAGAGACAATTGCACCTCAGATTGCAGCCCAAATTAATGCTTCACAAAGTTCAAGTAAGACACATCTCAACATCAACTGTTCAGAGGAAACTGCGTGAATCAGGCCTTCATGGTCGAATTGCTGCAAAGAAACCACTACTATAGGACACCAATAAGAAGAAGAGACTTGCTTGGGCGAAGAAAGACGAGCAATGGACCGGTGGAAATCTGTCCTTTGGTCTGATGAGTCCAAATTTGAGATTTTTGGTTCCAACGCCGTGTCTTTGTGAGACGCAGAGTAGGTGAACGGATGATCACTGCATGTGTGGTCCCACCATGAAGCATGGAGGAGGAGGTGTGATGGTTTGGAGGTGCTTTGCTGGTGACACTGTCTGTGATTTATTTAGAATTCAAGGCACACTTAACCAGCATGGCTACCACAGCATTCTGCAGCGATACGCCATCCCATCTGGATTGCACTTAGTGGGACTATCATTTCTTTTTCAACAGGAAAATGACCCAAAACACACCTCCAGGCTGTGTAAGGGATATTTGATCAAGGAGAGTGATGGAGTGCTGCATCAGATGACCTGGCCTCCACAATCCCCCGACCTCAACCCAATTGAGATGGTTTGGGATGAGTCGGACTGCAGAGTGAAGGAAAAGCAGCCAACAAGTGCTCCGCATACGTGGGAACTCCTTCAAGACTGTTGGAAAAGCATTCCTCATGAACCTGGTTGAGAGAATGCCAAGAGTGTGCAAAGCTGTCATCAAGGCAAAGGGTGGCTACTTTGAAGAATCTCAAATATAAAATATAATTTCATTTGTTTAAAAAAATGTTGGTTACTACATGATTCCATATGTGTTATTTCATAGTTTTGATGTCTTCACTATTATTATACAATGTAGAAAATAGTACAAATGAAGATGAATGAGTAGGTGTGTCCAAACTTTTGACTGCTACAGTATGGGTGTGTGTGCGTGTTTGTGTAGAGTCAGTACATGGTTGTGGTGTTACATGTTATAGAGGAAATAAACACAGAAGTTGGCTTGAGGTAGAAAACGTGGTTGAGTGAGACAAAGTATGTCAGGTGAGTGTGAGAGAATTTCAGAAGAAGTGAGTATGTGTGGGTGTGGGAGCTGGGTTTCTACTAAGCTAACACATGGAATTGTTTTAATATGGTCATACCTGTCATACCAATGATCATTTAGCTATTAGATTTTTAATTTTGGGACCCCTTTAAGTATCCCGAATTATATAAAATAAAATATTTTATAAAACATTGAATTTGGCCTTACTGCTATTAGCCAATAGAAATGCATTGAATAACATATTAATACACGGCAAAACAGATAGTAAAAGTTTGTTTTGAAGTGCCTGTCCTATATCTGAGAGATAGATATTAGAAAGATGAGGAATATACACTACGTGACCAAAAGTACAGTGGGGAAAAAAAGTATTTAGTCAGCCACCAATTGTGCAAGTTCTCCCACTTAAAAAGATGAGAGAGGCCTGTAATTTTCATCATAGGTACACGTCAACTATGACAGACAAAATTAGAAAAAAAAATCCAGAAAATCACATTGTAGGATTTTTAATGAATATGTTTGCAAATTATGGTGGAAAATAAGTATTTGGTCAATAACAAAAGTTTTGTCAATGCTTTGTTATATACCCTTTGTTGGCAATGACACAGGTCAAACGTTTTCTGTAAGTCTTCACAAGGTTTTCACACACTGTTGCTGGTATTTTGGCCCATTCCTCCATGCAGATCTCCTCTAGAGCAGTGATGTTTTGGGGCTGTCGCTGGGCAACACAGACTTTCAACTCCCTCCAAAGATTTTCTATGGGGTTGAGATCTGGAGACTGGCTAGGCCACTCCAGGACCTTGAAATGCTTCTTACGAAGCCACTCCTTCGTTGCCCGGGCGGTGTGTTTGGGATCATTGTCATGCTGAAAGACCCAGCCACGTTTCATCTTCAATGCCCTTGCTGATGGAAGGAGGTTTTCACTCAAAATCTCACGATACATGGCCCCATTCATTCTTTCCTTTACACGGATCAGTCGTCCTGGTCCCTTTGCAGAAAAACAGCCCCAAAGCATGATGTTTCCACCCCCATGCTTCACAGTAGGTATGGTGTTCTTTGGATGCAACTCAGCATTCTTTGTCCTCCAAACAAGACGAGTTGAGTTTTTACTAAAAAGTTATATTTTGGTTTCATCTGACCACATGACATTCTCCCAATCCTCTTCTGGATCATACAAATGCACTCTTGCAAACTTCAGACGGGCCTGGACATGTACTGGCTTAAGCAGGGGGACACGTCTTGCACTGCAGGATTTGAGTCCCTGGCGGCGTAGTGTGTTACTGATGGTAGGCTTTGTTACTTTGGTCCCAGCTCTCTGCAGGTCACTCACTAGGTCCCCCTGTGTGGTTCTGGGATTTTTGCTCACCGTTCTTGTGATCATTTTGACCCCACGGGGTGAGATCTTGCGTGGAGCCCCAGATCGAGGGAGATTATCAGTGGTCTTGTATGTCTTCCATTTCCTAATAATTGCTCCCACAGTTGATTTCTTCAAACCAAGCTGCTTACCTATTGCAGATTCAGTCTTCCCAGCCTGGTGCAGGTCTACAATTTTGTTTCTGGTGTCCTTTGACAGCTCTTTGGTCTTGGCCATAGTGGAGTTTGGAGTGTGACTGTTTGAGGTTGTGGACAGGTGTCTTTTATACTGATAACAAGTTCAAACAGGTGCCATTAATACAGGTAACGAGTGGAGGACAGAGGAGCCTCTTAAAGAAGAAGTTACAGGTCTGTGAGAGCCAGAAATCTTGCTTGTTTCTAGGTGACCAAATACTTATTTTCCACCATCATTTGCTAATAAATTCATTAAAAATCCTACAATGTGATTTTCTGGATTTTTTTTTCTCAATTTGTCTGTCATAGTTGACGTGTACCTATGATGAAAATTACAGGCCTCTCTCATCTTTTTAAGTGGGAGAACTTGCACAATTGGTGGCTGACTAAATACTTTTTTTCCCCACTGTATGTGGAAACCTGCTCGTCGAACATTTCATTCCAAAATCATGGGCATTAATATGGAGTTGGTCCCCCCTTTGCTGCTATAACAGCCTCCACTCTTCTGGGAAGGCTTTCCACTAGATGTTGGAACATTTCTGCGGGGACTTTCTTCCATTCAGCCACAAGAACATTAGTGAGGTCGGGCACTGATGTTGGGCGATTAGGCCTGGCTAGCAGTCGGCATACCAATTCATCCCAAAGGTGTTCGATGGGGTTGAGGTCAGGGCTCTGTGCAGGCCAGTCAAGTTCTTCCACACCGATCTCGACAAACCATTTCTATATGGACCTCGCTTTGTGCACGGGGGCAATGTCATGCTGAAACAGGAAAGGGCCTTCCTCAAACTGTTGCCACAAAGTTGGAAGCACAGAATCGTCTAGAACAGGGCTGCCCAACCCTCTTCCTGGATATATACTATCCTGTAGGTTTTCAGTCCAACACTAATTTAGCATATCTGATTCAGCTAGTTAAGGTCTTGTTGAGCAGCTAATTTGTAGAATCAGGTGTGTTAAATTAGGGTTGGACTGAAAACCCACAGGATGGTAGATCTCCAGGAAGAGGGTTGTGCAGCCCTGGTCTAGAACGTAATTGAATGCTGTAACATTAAGATTTCCCTTCACTGGAACTAAGGGGCCAAGCCCAAACCATGAAAAAGAGCCCCAGACCATTATTCCTCCTCCACCAAACTTTACAGTTGGTACTACGCATTGGGGCAGGTAGCGTTCTCTTGGCATCCGCCAAACCCAGATTAATCCGTCGGACTGCCAGATTGTAAAGCGTGATCCATCACTCTAATTACACCACTCCATCAGAGTGCGCATGGTGATCTTTTGTGCGACTGCTCGGCCATGGAAACCCATTTCATGAAGCTCCCGATGAACAGTGTGCTGACGTTGACTTGCAGAAGCAGTTTGGAACTCGGTAGTGAGTGTTGTAACCGAGGACAGACAATTTTTACGCCCTTCAGCGTATATTAGTTTGTAGGCCAAACCGTTCGGACGCTACAGACGTTTTGTAAGAAGACCGATTTTTGGGATGTCTCCTGGTCTGACAAACACTGCTGTAGCTCAGCCACCTTCAACCGCAGATGTGGAAGACCGACATCAGTGGATGTGGTGGATTGAGACGCAGCCCATGCAAAAAAACAAATATTCCTAGTTTAAACAGACAGATTTTGGCAGGGATTTTGTTATTATGCTATTTAGACTCTAAGGGATTAAGTCACAGGTGCTTAAACAGAGTGACATGCCAGAGAGAGATTGTGCGTAAACAAGCCATGAAAATGAGATTGAAGAAGTTAATAAACTCAGCAAAAAAAGAAATGTCCTCTCACTGTCAACTGCGTTTATTTTCAGCAAACTTAACATGTGTAAATATTTGTATGAACATAACAAGATTCAACAACTTAGACATAAACTGAACAAGTTCCACAGACATGTGACTAACAGAAATTGAATAATGTGTCCCTGAACAAAGGGGGGTCAAAATCAAAAGTAACAGTCAGTATCTGGTGTGGCCACCAGCTGCATTAAGTACTGCAGTGCATCTCTTCCTCATGGACTGCACCAGATTTGCCAGTTCTTGTTGTGAGATGTTACCCCACTCTTCCACCAAGGCAACTGCAAGTTCCCAGACATTTCTGGGGGGAATGGCCCTCGCCCTCCCATCCAACAGGTCTCAGACGTGCTCAATGGGATTGAGATCCGGGCTCTTCGCTGGCCATGGCAGAACACTGACATTCCTGTCTTGTTGAGATTGCCTGCAATGACAACAAGCTCAGTCCGATAATGCTTTGACACACCGCCCCAGACCATGACGGACCCTCCACCTCCAAATCGATCCCGCTCCAGAGTACAGGCCTCGGCGTAACGCTCATTCCTTCAACGATAAATGCGAATCCAAACATCACCCCTGATAAGACAAAACCGCGACTCGTCAGTGAAGAGCACTTTTTGCCAGTCCTGTCTGGTCCAGCGACGGTGGGTTTGTGCCCATAGGCGATGTTGTTGCCGGTGATGTCTGGTGAGGACCTTCCTTACAACAGGCCTACAAGCCCTCAGTCCAGCCTCTCTCAGCCTATTGCGGACAGTCTGAGCACTGATGGGGGGATTGTGCGTTCCTGGTGTAACTCGGGCAGTTGTTGTCATCCTGTACCTGTCCCGCAGGTGTGAAAGTTCGGATGTACCGATCCTGTGCAGGTGTTGTTACATGTGGTCTGCCACTGCGAGGACGATCAGCTGTCCGTCCTGTCTCCCTGTAACGCTGTCTTAGGCGTCTCACAGTACGGACATTGCAATTTATTTCCCTGGCCACATCTGCAGTCCTCATGCCTCCTTGCAGCATGCCTAAGGCACGTTCCCGCAGATGAGCAGGGACCCTGGGCATCTTTCTTTTGGTGTTTTTCAGAGTCAGTAGAAAGGCCTCTTTAGTGTACTAAGTTTTCATAACTGTGACCTTAATTGCGTACCGTCAGTAAGCTGTTAGTGTCTTAACAACTGTTCTACAGGTGCATGTTCATTAATTGTTTATGGTTCATTGAACAAGCATGGGAAACAGTGTTTAAACCCTTTACAATGAAGATCTGTGAAGTTATTTGGATTTTTACGAATATGGGTCCTGAAAAAGGGACGTTTCTTTCTTTGAGTTTATGTGCATAACTGGTGTATTGTTATGACAGTGGACTGTCACGTACAGAGTGTGCACGTGTGTGCGCCCCTGGAGCAATTAGAGTTAAGTGCCTTGCTCAAGGGCACATCGGCAGATCTTTCACCTTGTCGGCACAGGAATTTGAACCAGCAACCTTTTGCTTACTGGTCCAACGCTCTAACCGCAAGGCTACCTGCCGTGTGTGTTACTTCTACTCACTGTGGGGCGTAGGACATGGACAGGCAGACGCAGTAGCCGCTGGAAACGGAGAAGAGCATCATAATAAAGACGAAGGCAGCGTCGTGGGAGAAGAGGACGGGCAGGTAGGAGCGGCTCTGGACGTTACACAGCATCAGCAGGGGAACAAACACCATCCTGGAGACCACCAGGGCCGGGAACAGACAACTCTCCTTGGGAGGCTGTGGAACAAATACAGCGAGAAATGTTACTAATAAGATTAGTAATAATAATAACTACATGTAATGCTAGTAATAACTGAAGCTTTCGTGCAGTGGTAGAAAGTGAGAGAAATTATATTTGTAGAGGATTATAAAACACTGAGAAACTTGGAACAATAATCCATCATGATCCTATCAAGTGTGTAATAAAATGACATTAATCCACACAGATCAAATGAGATCAGACACCTACCCACTGGACCAGGGTGGTGACGGTTCTGCCGATCCAGTCACACACGTTGAAAATGAGGAAGCAACACACTGAGATGAAGTAGGGCTCTGATGGAGGGAAGAGGGAGAGGGGTGGTTAATAGGTGGTTTTAAGTCTCATGACATGCATACTAAACATACAGTATACATATCTACAAAGGTGCTATATAGAACCTAAAAGGGTTCTACCTCGAACCAAAAAGGGCTCAACCTGGAACGAGAAAGGGTTCTCCTATGGAGACAGCCGAAGAACCCTTTTGAAACCTATTTTCAAAGAGTGTATACATACCCCATTTCCCAGGGTACATGGTCTTGACGTCCACAGTGACGGCAGGAAACACAGCGAGAGTGACGGTGAAGACAAAAACCACACAGAATGCCATCACCCATATCTGAAGAGGGACAGAGACAAGGTAAGAAATATGGTGGAAACTTTCTCTAGTCCATGCTTACACTACTTCTAAATGCATGCAGGGGAGTGAACAAGTGTACACTTTGGGAAAAGGGTAGGGAATTGGACCTCAACTATAGACAAGAGCCATATATAAAAAAATATATATATATATATGACTCTGCTATAGACATTTGAGTAACAACAGAGGTCAGCATTACCTTTTTAAACACCTCCATGACGGTGGACTTCCGATCCCTGTCCTCAGCCTGCTCTAGGGGTAGGAAGTTATGCTTGGGACTGGCCCCCTCTACCTCCACCTCCTCGCCGCTGGCACCACCATTGGCCAAAGAGCCGTTGGCCTTGCCATTCACCGCCGTGTCACTCTCTGCCAGGGGAGGAAGAATGGGGAAAATGTCAGGGAAAACTGTCAATTTTACCTCAAATTGATTAATCAACAGGCAGGGGTAAATGTGTGAGGGAGTAATGGCCGATGCTGGGGGAGGGAGGGAGGGAGGGAGGGATGGAGAGCCATCTATGACACTAGTTTCTGGGGCATGTGCCCACCAGACTACTACATTATCGGTTATGAATAGGGCCCACCAGAATACTACATTATCTGTTATGAATAGGGCCCACCAGACTACTACTACATTATCTGTTATGATTAGGGCCAGGAATTTTCCCTCACCACTGGACCAAGCTAGAGCTGATAACTAGTGCCTAGAGGGTTTCCTAGACATTTGGTAATTTCCATTGAAACATCCATTGATGATCTTTCCTGCACCCTTCCTTGCCCTGGAGTCGTGCAGGATCTCGATGGAGGGCAGGTGGCAGCCGATGACCCTCATGGACAGGGGGACCTGATGCTAGATCCAAACTCCTACTCTGAGATGCTTGATACATACAACCCCTGAGTATAAAGGGGAATACTAGCAGTGACAGACTGCACTGTAGTGGTTGGTCATTGAGATATATAGGAGCACAACATGAATAGGCTTTCAGCAGCCTCACCTTTCAACAGCTCGTCTGTGGTCTCCACCTCATAGCTCCTGCTCTTGTCCAAGTAGAACTGGGCAAACTCCTAGATGAGACCGGAGCAGAGGCCAAATGAGACAGACAGAAAGTTCCCTGAACTTGAACACAGATTCCTTAGATAAAACATAGTGATGCCCTACTGCATGCTGGTCAGCTACAGCCCTGGGGGATACAAAGTCTGTTTTGAGTCCCAACCTTTGAAACAGATTCTTTAAATAAAACGTAGTCATGTCATACTGCATGATGATCAGCTATAGTCCTGAGGGATACAGGGTCTGTTCTGAGGCCCAACGTGTGGTATCTATCAGTGATTCTATTACATTCTAGTCCTGGGGCTTTGTAGGGCTGAGCCACTCACCAGGCGAGGCAGTAAGATGTAGCTGAGGAGAGTGAGCAGGGTTCCTACACAAGGAGTGATGAAGTAACCCAACGCAGCCGTCTCAGGGTCTGAATCACCTGTCACACACACACACACACACACGCGCGCGCACACACACACAGGAATGAAAAAGGTGAGGTCAATTCCAAGTGGAATTGCAAAGGCCACATCATACTCATTTGACTATTTGCCACATTTGAATGATTTGCTAGTCAGCCACTGAGCATCTCTGATGTGAGCTGTGCGTGTTTATTTCCAAGTAGTAATTTGTATATTTGATATATTTGTTTGTGTGTGTGACTCACTGGCTATGGAGATCAGCATGGCGATAGCTGCGAAGGTGCCGGCCAGCCCCTGGCCACTCATAAACACAGCGCTGTACTTCTGAGGCAGCAGACCCACTAGCCCAAACAGACTGCCCTGTAACACCGCTCCAAACGCTACCAGGAGAGAGAGAAAGAGACAGGGTTAATGATATAGTGCACACCATCATCATCATCATCATCATCATCATCAACAAACACAAACAGTTAATGATACCGCCCCCACACACCTTACTCATGCACACTATATTAATGCTATTACACACATCTTGTGACAAATGGTTTCTCTCTTTCATACACACACACACACACACCACAATGATCCCCCCCACACACACAGACAACCATGTCCTACTCACAGTTGATGAACCAGATGATAGCCATGGTAACAGAGAAGAAGCGGTCCTCTTCCATAGGGATCTTGACCAGGATGGCAGTGAGGATGAAGAGGATGAAGATGAAGACCAGGCTGCCCGCTATACGCACCATCTCCGATATCCTACGCACAAACACACAAATTCAAAAGGTTAGTTCACAATCTCACTGGATTAGACAGTAGCAAGTAACACTACCTTTACGGAGTATTACACATTTGTACTTCAAACTGAGGCCACTCTAAAATCCACTGTATCACAAAGCATATTAGCTTTTTTGCACCTATTTGCAGTTGAATAAAATGGCCAACACAAAAGGGTGGTTCACACACACACTAGACTATCAGCCAAGTATGCAGTAGAACGTTGTTTCTTTAGCATTTGGATATCTTGTAAACCTGAGGGAGAAGTGCTGTCTCACCGCTGATAGAAGAAGGAGTTGAGCAGAGTGCAGAGAAGCAGGGGGAGCTGGGACAGCAGAGTCATCCAGTTGTTGAAGTAGTACTCTTTGTGGGCCACCACCGTGCCGTTTCTCCGTTCTGTCTTGTTGAGGCGGCTGTTGAAATACTGTTGACAGAAGAGACAAAGAGATAAAATTGTATTTTTGCATACGCTTTTATCCACATTTTGGGATGGGTGGCCCCAGCAGGAATCGAACCCACGTTCATGGCGTTACAAGCATGCTCTATAAACTGAGCCACACAGGATTCAGGAGATGACCCAGTTTAGTTTAGATTAACAATCAATATGTTGTTAGTTGCTATCGGCTAAGTACATACAGTAATGGTACATCAGTGGTCACTTGTTCCTATACAAATAGGCCTAGTCATTCTACAAACGTGTACTGTATACCAAGAATCAAAGCTAACCCTATGAGCTAACCCTAGGAGTTGTGGAGTTTGACAATTGAACATAGAGAGAGCTTAGCCTTAGCGGCTAGGCCACACACACAACATGTTCACATGATTGACTACACAGCTCCAAAGTGGAATACTCATGTGATGTTCTATAGCTTAAGGGGGCCTCCAACCACACCACAAAGGGGTTAACTTCAACATAGAGGTACTTAGTGGACACCAAGACTACATAACAACAGGGGGCCAGTCACACTAAATCCCTCTCGGACAAAATACTTGACTGGAACATACCAACAACTCAGCTAATCCTCTATGTACAATACACACAGTTACAGAACACATACAATTCCCTAAGAAGCCAATGCTCTACTTTGGCATGGCAAGTACTGCACTTGTTGAACCCGAGCCAAAGTATATCTGATCTTAGATCTGTAGCTTTGGGAAACTTTAATACTAAAGTTTCCCAAAGCTACAGTTCTAGGATCAGATCTACCTTACCCTAATCCGACTGTAACCTTGTTGTTATGAAGACATATGAGATTGGGTTTACCATGGAGGCGGTCATAAAGAAGTTCCATGGTAGCAGCGTCCCGAGGCCCAGAATGAAGAAGATGATCCCCACCAACCAGCCCCTGGGAACGGGAGGAAAATATGAAAAGATTAGAAACAAGCATGTCATTCTTAGGTTTCTGATATGTATTTACCATTTTATTACCATGTTATTTCTTTAAAATTAGCAAGTAGTTTATGTACCGTGAAATAAAGTGCTACCAGTCAGGGAGATAAAATACAACGATACAACAACAGTGAACTTTATATAAGTACATCAGAAATTAAATAGATTCACTACGTTAATTGATTAAAAACAGTACAAAAGTTCATTTTCCGCACCACTGCTCTGCTTGGAGGCATTGCAATTAAACTCAAAATATAAAAATAGGACTCTGGTTGAGAGTGAAAGCAGAAACGAGAAAGAAATGAGAGTAGATACTTCTAGTTTGCACATGAGGAAGAGGCGCCAGCGGCAGCCACTCACCTATCACGCGGGGCATCTGTCCGGCCCTTCATACTGTGCTATGGGGTTCGGTTGAAACTAGGGGCAAAAGAGAGGGGTACATAGTCAACATAAAGACCAAGTGTAGATTTGTCTATCCTCTCTAAGCACTTTATTTACAGAATACAAATACAGGTCATTTTTCACATTCTAGAACATTGCCGCAAGGAGTGGGAGCCATTCCCACTTTACTACAGTACTGTACGTCCAAGATAGAGTTGGGCGGTATTCAGATTTTCATATCGTAATACCGTCCTTCTCTCATCCCGGATTTATGGAATTACCGTCTTAGTATATAAGGGGGCTCTAAAAATGCAAAAAAGCCCATTGGCCATCTATTACCAGAATGCTAACAATATTGGCACAAACTAATAGCGAATTTCAATAGAGGCTGCTAGCTAAATATGCTAACAAGCGCAAAACGAAAATAAACTAATTGCAAAGACAAGGAAATCAAGCTCATAAAGTTATACAAGTATAGGTAGTAGCTATCGAATCTAATTTTGGGTGAGTTTGGACATTTACAAGCGAATGTGAACGAGAGACATTGTGCAAATGAACAAAGTTTTGATGCATGCTTGTCTGAAGGAAGAGAAGTGCTGGTTCTGGAGCAGTATGTGTATATGCTGTGTCTGTGTGGAGTCGCTAGGGCAACCCTGCAGAACCAGCTGAGCGACCGGATCCAGCCACCCACACACCAGCACCCAGAGGTATTCACCTGTCTCGACCAAGGGAATACGACGGGACAGCGGCCCACTGCCAGGGTTTCCTCATGCAGCTGGACCTGTATTTCAACACCATTAGCCCTGCTCCATCGGATCGGGAGAAGGTGTCCTCCCTCGTCTCCTGCCTCTCGGGGAAAGCCCTGGAGTGGGCCAACGTGGTCTGGAGAGAAGGAGGAGACGAGTTGGACAACTACGGAGAGTTTGGTCCATCTGAGGAGGTTAAAACTCTAGCAGCTGGGTCCGGGTGGAACGAGCGGGCCCTCATCGATCACTTCCGATGTAGCCTGCGTGAGGACGTCCGAAGGGAGCTAGCCTGCTGGGATACCACGTTGACCTTCAACCAACTGGTGGACATGGCCATCCGGTTGGACAACCTGCTGGCTTCGAGAAGACGTTCTGGAAGGGGCCTGCCTGTTTCACCCCCCTTCAACCCGGATCACGTTCCGATGGAGCTGGGTGGTGCAGTGTTCCGGGAGAACGGAGGACGACAGATCCAGTGTCACTCTTGTAGCAAGAGAGGACATTCTGCTGCACGATGTCGTCAGAGTTCTTCTGGTTCTGAAGGCGGCAGGCAGGGCACTCTCGCGTCACCCCAGGTAGCGCAAACCCACACTCGTTCAGAGCCCTCTGCTGCGCATTTCACCATCCATGTCAACTTCCCTGATTACACGGTAGTTCTCCAGTGTAAGGCGCTGGTAGATTAAGGCGCAGCTGGGAACTTCATGGACAGGTCTTTAGCTCTTAGTCTATGTATTCTATTGGTTCCCCTGTCTATTCCATTACCCATTAAAGCACTTGACAATCGACCATTAGGGTTTTGCTAGGGAGGTTACAGCACCAGTCACTATGATTACACAGGAGACCCACAATGAGCAAATCACGTTTCACATTGAGTCCCCTGATTTCCCTGTTGTGTTGGGCCTTCCCTGGCTAGCACTACACGACCCCACCTTTTCATGGCCCCAGAAGGCTCTCACGGGGTGGTCACGAGAGTGTCAGGGTAGATGTCTAGCTGTTTCCGTTGGTGCACGATTTGGCGCACGTGTTTTCCAAAATGCAGGCGACCAAATTACCACCCCATCGGGCGGGGGATTGCGCGATAAACCTCCGGTTAGACGCTGTGCCGCCCAGGAGTCATGTATATCCTGTCGCAGGCGGAAACGGAGGCTATGGAGACATACCCGAGTCCCTGCATCAGGGGTTCATACGTCCCTCCACTTCACCCGCCTCCTCGAGTTTCTTTTTCGTGAAGAAGAAAGACGGGGGTCTGCGCCCTTGCATTGATTACCGTGCACTTAATCAAACTACCATTCGCTTTAGTTACCCTCTACCCCTCATTTCCTCTGTTATCGAATCAATGCATGGGGCGCGCTTCTTCACGAAATTAGATCTCAGGAGTGCGTACAACCTGGTGTGTGTCCGGAAAGGGGACGAATGGAAGACAGCATTTAGCACAACCACGGGGCATTATGACTACCTGGTGATGCCGTACGGGTTGATGAATGATCCATCAGTCTTCCAGTCCTTTGTGAACGAGGTGTTTCGGGACATGCTTGGTTGCGGTCGGGTGGTCTACATCGATGACATCCTGGTGTGTTCCGCTACACTAGCCGAGCATGTGTCCCTGGTTCGCAGAGTGCTGGGCCGACTGTTGGAGCATGACCTGTATGCCAAGGCAGAAAAGTGTTTGTTCTTCCAACAATCTGTCTCCTTCCTCAGATACCACATCACCACCTCAGGTGTGGAGATGGAGGGAGACCGCATTTCAGCCGTGCGTAATTGGCCGACTCCAACCACGGTAAAGGAGGTGCAGTGCTTCATTGGCTTTGCCAATTACTATCGGAGGTTTATCCGGGGCTTTGGCAAGGTCGCATCTCCCATCACCTCTCTGTTGAAGGGTGGGCCGTCCCGGCTCCACTGGTCTGCTGAGGCTGACAGGGCTTTCAGTAACCTGAGAGCTCTGTTCACATCAGCCCCGGTGCTGGACCATCCCGATCCATCATTGTCGTTCGTAGTGGAGGTGGATGGTTCCGAGGTAGGGGTAGGCGCTGTCCTATCCCAACTCTCTGGCACGCCACCCAAGCTCCGCCCCTGTGCCTTCTTCTCTAAGAAGCTCAGCCCGGTGGAGCAGAACTATGACGTTGGTGATCGGGAGCTGTTGGCTGTTATCAGAGCCCTGACAGCGTGGAGGCACTGGCTCGAGGGGGCGAAACACCCTTTTCTCATCTGGACTGACCACGTAACCTGGAGTACATCCGGGAAGCAAGGAGGCTGAACCCTCGCCAGGCGGGCCTTGTTCTTCACCCGGTTTGATTTCACGCTGTCCTATATACCAGGCACTAAGAACGTGAAGGCAGACGCACTGTCACGGCTGTACGACACAGCCGTGACAGAGGCCCATTGACAACACCCCCATACCCCCGGCCTCCTGCATTGTGGCGCCAGTGGTGTGGGCGGTGGACGCGGACATAGAGCGGGCGTTATGCCCAGCTGGGCTGCGGTACGTGCCATCTTGTGTCCGTGATCGTCTTATCTATTGGGACACACACGTCTCCCTCCTCTGGTCACCAAGGCATCGGCCGTACAGTGCGCTGCCTGACCGGGAAGTCCTGGTGGCCTACCTTGGCTAAGGACGTGAGGGAGTATGTCTCCTCCTGCTCGGTGTGCGCCCAGAGTAAGGCACCTAGGCACCTTCCAGCGGGTAAGTTACATCCCTTACCAGTTCCACAACGGCCATGGTCCCACTTATCCATTGACTTTCTAACTGATCTTCCCCTCTCTCAGGGTAACACCACCATCCTGGTTGTTGTGGACCGCTTCTCTAAAGCCTGCCGCCTCCTTCCTCTGCTCGGTCTCCCCACGGCCCTGAAAACTGCGGAAGCCCTGTTTCCTCACGTGTCTGACCGGGGTCCCCAGTTTACGTCTAGGGTCTGGAAGGCGTTCATGGAACATCTGGGGGTCTCGGTCAGCCTGACCTCTGCGTTTCACCCCGAATCTAATGGGCAGGTGGAACGGGTGAATCAGGATGTGGGTAGGTTCCTGCGGTCCTACTGCCAGGACCGGCCGGGGGAGTGGTCGGTGTTCTTGCCATGGGCCGAATATGCCCAGAACTCTCTCTGCCACTCCTTCACTAACCTGTCACCATTTCAATGTGTTTTAGGGTATCAGCCGGTCCTGGCACCGTGGCATCAGTGCCAGACCGAAGCTCCTGCGGTGGACGACTGGTTTCGGCGTGCGGAGGAGACTTCAGCGCACCTTGCGTCGCCAGAAAGCCAACGCTGACCGCCACCGCAGTGAGGTCCCGGTCTTTGTACCGGGTGATCGGGTCTGGCTCTTGACCCGGAACCTGCCCCTCCGACTGCCCTGCCGGAAGCTGAGCCTGCGGTTTGTGGGGCCGTTCAAAGTCCTGAGGAGAGTTAACGAGGTTATGTATAGGTTGCTGCTCCCTCCTGATTACCGTATTAACCCCACGTTTCACGTATCTCTCCTCAGGCCGGTGGTGGCTGGTCCACTCCAGGAGTCTGAGGTGCGGGAGGTCCATTGAGGGGGCCCCGGCGTACTCCGTCCATTCCATCCTGGAATCGAGGCATCAGGTGGGGGGCCTTCAGTAAATAATGGATTGGGAGGGGTACGGTCCGGCGGAGCAGTGCTGGGTCCCGGTGAAGGATGTCCTCGATCCCTCCCTGTTGCGGGATTTCCACCGTCGCCATCCGGATCGCCTTGCTCCGCGTCCTCCTGGCCGTCCCCGAGGCTGGTGTTGGCGTGCTGCTGGAGCTGCGCATCAAGGGGGGGGTATTGTCACGACTTCCTCCGAAGCTGCCTCCTCTCCTTGTTCGGGCAGGCTTCGGCGTTCGTCATCACCGGCCTTCTAGCCACTGCTGCTCCTCTTCTCATCTTTCCATTTGTTTTGTCTTGTTTTTTTACATACCTGGTTCATATCCCCTCATCAGTCCCTGTATAAGTATTCCCTCTGCCCCCCATGTCTTTGTGTGTGATTGTTTCCATGTGGAGGTGTCGATAGCTCGGTGGAGCATTATGTACTTGATCGCGGGATATTCACCCGTGTGTTTAGTTTTTCCCAGTGCGCCGTTAAGTTTACATTTACATTTACATTTACATCATTTAGCAGACGCTCTTATCCAGAGCGACTTACAGTTAGTGAGTGCATACATTTTTATTTTCTATACTGGAATCGAACCCACAACCCTGGCGTTGCAAATGCCATGCTCTACCAACTGAGCTACATCCCTGCCGGCCATTCCCTCCCCTACCCTGGACGACACTGGGCCAATTGTGTGCCGCCCCATGGGTCTCCCAGTCGCGGCCGGCTACAACAGAGCCTGGATTCGAAC